TAGGTAGATTAAATGTGACATTTGATTTCTTTAAAAAATAGGTTGTTTTGCTGTGCCAAATTATATACAATGTAAGGAAACAGTAGGTTTTTGGATACGTATTTACAACCGATATGTTTTAAACTCTTCAATAATCGTGAAACCAAAGTACAATTATGAATAATTTACTTCTAATAGATAAAATTAAATAATACAGATATGTGTTCAAAATCAACGGACGGGCACCATTCGTAATCTTAAAATAGGCCTAGCGCTTTCATCAATTGAGCATCTTATGTATAATTTTTCTTAAATGCGTGTCTTTATTGTATAAACATATTTACAAATGTATATTGGGGCTATTTTTCGATAATAAGATTATACAACAAAAAAATCAAAAAATAAATAAACGATGAAAAACGCTCGTAACTTGGGGTAAAGTACGCGTAGACGGGCAAGCATTTCTTAATCTAGCGTATTCATTAACGTACTGTGTTCTGGCAAAGAACATCAGAAGTTTGTATTTTATTAGCCATGATTTATTTAATGTATTTATACAGGTATAATATAATGTTTTGAGACTTTAATCTAAACAATTATCGTTTTACGAAAAACGCTCGTAACATGGGGTAAAAGGAGCGTAAATATCAATCTCGATTACATCAATTTTCTCAAAATATATTTCAATGTGGATAAATTCCTGTCAAGGAGATGTTCCTTAGACTATATTCTCAAATCTGACGAAGTTTTAGCGGAAGAATCGAGCGAGAAAGATATGAAAAATAATTTCCCTCAAGTTTCTAATCTCATGAGAGATAGGTCCGAATGTTGTAACAAGATAGGGTCCATTTTTTCGGTGGACGGAGAAAACCGTATTCTATACGTCATTGTTTTTATGTGTGATCAGAACCATAAAATAGGGATTCAAAAACGCTTTCCATTGGTGTATACGGCTATTTCCAGCGATGTTAGGAACAATGTTTTTCAGCCACGCGCCTGATACCCCAGTCAAAAAATTTTGAAAGGTAATAACTTGCGCTTAAATCATTGTCGCTGCTCAAATTGCCGTTTACAGGTGCGTGGGGATATATTCTATAGTATCTGATTGTTAAAACTACATTTTAAAACAAAATAATTGAAATATTGCAAAAAAAGTTTTTTTCGAAAAGTGGACGGAGAAAACATGGGGTATTGTATGGAGGGACGGACGGACGTGCGGACGGACGGACGGACGGAGGCGTTCCCTATATCCCTCCGAACTTTGTTCGATGGGATAATAATCTTTAAAATGGAACCCTTCAATGACTGTATCATGTCCCACGTAGGTGGGTAGGTGGGTATGAGGTAGGAGGTTTTTTATACATAGCCAAGAAAATGTCGGAACGTCGAAGGGACGATTTTTCTTTTTTCCTTATTTCACACGTTGTAGGCAGAATTCCCACGAAGTTTTTATCACAGACGTATGTCAGTATCATAAGTTTAGAAAATGAACATTTTTGTGAACAAATAGTTCAGAAGACAACAGAATCGTCGATTTAATTCCTCACTTAAATTACAGAAACGGTTTTCGAAAAGGTGCACTATTAACCCATACCGTTTCGGTATAAGTGAGGACTTAAATCGACGGTTCTGTTGTCTTCTGAGCTATTTTTCCCCAAACTTGTACATTTTCTAACATAATATAATATAACATAGCTAGGCCGGTAGCCAGGATTTGCCAAGGGGGGGTTCATTTTTCAAAAATTTCCAGGGGGGGTTTACATTTGACAATTTTGGCCCAAATATGGCTAAAATCACTTGAGAAGTGCTCAAAATGGTGAAAAACTGCATGATTTTGAAAGAATTTTTGGCCAGGGGGGGGTTCGCCCGAACCCTGCGAACACCCCCTGGCTACGGGCCTGAATTAGCATAACATAACAAACGTAACATACAATAACATAACAGATTCCAGCCAATCCGAACAGAGTATTCACATAATGGATAGTGTGTGAGATATCAATAACACATGCAAGGTCACTAGTTAAACAGTTGGCATGGTGATGAATGGATTTTTCACATTGGAAAATGTCATTGAAATGTGTTCTTTTAGTGATTTCGTTCCTTTTAGACGATTTTATAGAAAAAATTGGCCATTTGTGAAAAGAATTTAAGCCCAAGTTTGTAACTGCTTTATTCCAATTCGCTGCGCGGTCATGTAAAGGTTTGGAAACAACACCTTCATGATATGATTCAGCAAACAATGCATTGAGTCTTGCGCTTAAATCCTTTACATGACATAACATACTGGAAAAGAAACAGCGAGCCGTCTCCTTATAGTCATTTCATTAACTATTAAAATCTGTATTTCTGTACATTATCAGTAGTAGGTTTAAAACTGGACAAGTTTATCGTGACTTGTGAATGCATTCAGTATCACTGTTGAAAACAAATGAATAGCCGCTCATTTTTTAATTTTCGGATATCGATCTTTTGAAATGCTCCATAAGACATGTAAGAAAGACCTGCATGGCACTTGATCACTTCATCTAATATGACATCCCACATATTTACAGCATTGCAAATGATATTTTATAGAAACATCTGACAATTATGTTGTACATGAGTAGTAGGATTTTTGGTCCCATGAGGCCAGGCTGGTCACTAGGCTGGTCATCTAAAACCGGAAGTTAGCCATTTTGACAGGAAGTCAGCCATTTTGACCGGAAGTCAGCCATTTAACCGGAAGTCGGCCATTTTGAAGCTTTCTAGCGGGAAGTCAGCCATTTTGCATCTGTCTGGGCAAGAGGGTGACATCATAGCGGAAGTGAGGCATCTTTTAGTTGGCCTGGGTAGGTTTTAAAGCGGAAGTTAGCCATCTTTTATTCGGTCTGGGCAGGTTCATGATTTCATAGAGGAGGTTGAGCCATTTTAACTTTGCCTGGGCAAGTGGATCATATTTTTGGCAGGAAACGTAAATGTAGCCATATTGATACCCTTATATCATATGAATAACGATTACGATGGCATTGGTCTCACTCGAATCATGAATACATTATGCAAGATCACATGAGATATACATGTTAAAGATCAATAAGATTACGCTTACCCCATATGATGACAAGAGGTATGTGCAAGATGATGGGATCAGGACTTTGGCACATGGTCATTATAAGATTAGCAAGTAAGTACATATCGAAACTTACACCCTCCCTTTAAATATCCTTCAGTCTCCTCCCTACCTCCTTCCACCTCCAACTAACTCCTCCTTACCTCCTCCCGCCTCCTCCTACCTCCTCCTTACCTCCTCCCACCTCCTCCCTACCTCCTCCCTCTTCCTCTCACATCCTTCCTTTCTCCTCCTTTCCTCCTCCCTACCTCCTTACCTCCTCCTAACCTCCTCCCTACCTCCTCTCGCTTCCTCCCACATCCTCCCTACCTCCTCCTTACCTCTTCCTATCTCCTCCCTACCTCCTCCCACCTCCCTACCCCATCCTTAACTCCTCCCAACCTCCTCTTTTCTCTTCTCTATCCTCCAGACCTCCTCCCCATACTTAATTATACTATGAGGTTATATAATGGTTCTTTCTGTATATCGTTTTTATACTCGAGTGAGTATATAATATATTCACAAGTGAGCGTGCCGTAGCGAACGAGTGAATATATTATATTCTCACGAGAGGGAGAGAATATTATATTCTCACGAGAGGGAGGAGATAGGAGGAGGTAAGGAGGAGGTAGGGAGGATGTGGGAGGAAGCGAGAGGAGGTAGGGAGGAGGTGGGAGGAGGTTAGGAGGAGGTAAGGAGGTAGGGAGGAGGAAAGGAGGAGAAAGGAAGGATGTGAGAGGAAGAGGGGGGAGGTAGGGAGGAGGTAAGGAGGAGGTAGGAGGAGGTGGGAGGAGTTAGTTGGAGGTGGAAGGAGGTAGGGAGGAGACTGAAGGATATTTAAAGAGGGTGTAAGTTTCGATATGTACTTACTTGCTTATCTTATAATGACCATGTGCCAAAGTCCTGATCCCATCATCTTGCACATACCTCTTGTCATCATATGGGTTAAGCGTAATCTTATTGATCTTTAACATGTATATCTCATGTGATCTTGCATAATGTATTCATGATTCGAGTGAGACCAATGCCATCGTAATCGTTATTCATATGATATAAGGCTATCAATATGGCTACATTTACGTTTCCTGCCAAAAATATGATCCCCTTGCCCAGGCAAAGTTAAAATGGCTCAACCTCCTCTATAAAATCATGGACCTGCCCAGACCGAATAAAAGATGGCTAACTTCCGCTTTAAAACCTACCCAGGCCGACTAAAAGATGCCTCACTTCCGCTATGATGTCACCCTCTTGCCCAGACAGATGCAAAATGGCTGACTTCCTGCTAGAAAGCTTCAAAATGGCCGACTTCCGGTTAAATGGCTGACTTCCGGTCAAAATGGCTGACTTCCTGTCAAAATGGCTAACTTCCGGTTTTAGATGACCAGCCTAGTGACCAGCCTGGCCTCATGGGACCAAAAATCCTACTACTTACATGTATGCAGTGCCTGCATTAGACAAAGCAGTCAAGACGCCGAAACATGCAAATTTCAGAATGAGGTAAAGTGAAAAAATGATAAAATTATATTTTGACAAAAACCTGATAAAAATAATCATGTTATTAACCCACGAAATGATTTTAGTATACTCCGTCGATTTTTTCGTTATCTAGGATTTATGCGAATAAACAAATATCTAACTAAATCTAAATTATTTATCTCTCTCTCTCTCTAGGAATTATTTTTCTTGTGCAAAAGGGGGGAAAGCTACCTTTTGTTTAATTTGATATATTGTCAAAAAGGCTTATTTTTCCACCTGTCCATTGACTTTAGCCCATGACCTATCCAATGGTGTTATACTGTAACTTTTTGGCGAGCAGTATAGTGTTTTACTTGACGTGTAGCGTCTCCACAGCTCAAAATTGCTCAAGTATCATTAGAAGACTGAGCTAAGAGACACTGAACTGCTAACTTAAACAAACAATGCATTCACAGGTATATATGTAGTTGTACATGTAGTGACTTTATTTGTTATCTCCCTTGCTGTATTTGCATTTAAACCAAATATACACAATAGTGATTGTTTAACAAACGTTATGTCTGATGGCAAAATCTTGTACCCCCAGCCTACTTTGGACGAGGGGATCACGAAGGGACGATTCAAAGGTAAGGAACTCGTACATTACTTGGCATGCACGGGTAAGTAAGAAATGCGAGGATAAGTAAATATGTCATGCCTTGGTGTCATTCCAATGCAAGGGTATGTAGATGTATATGTCTTAATATAATGCCTTAATATCAGGATATTTTGGTGGCTTCCAAATAGACGCAGGGTTGGGTGAATATGTCTTAGATCTTTGGATAAAGGCCATACGCATGGACGATTTGAGGACCAGTACGAGGCACATATTTTGTTGAACTTTTTGGACAAATTGTATTCGAGTAGGGGAGTAGATACAGGGTGATCCAAAAGTGACGTCAACGATGCAGCCATTTCAATACAACTGCACCAATCTTTTTTTAAACTTGGATCAGATGTATTAGAAACATTTATATTGAGTTGATACCTCAATGTTTTGATTGGAAATCAGAGCACACTATTTCATTTATATTTACATTCTTATCTTGCTTAATGAACAGGAAAAATCGTCATAGTAACTGGAGGTGCTTCTGGTATTGGAAAAGAAACAGCGAGGCGTTTCCTTAACGACGGTGCTACTGTAGCAATTTTCGACATCAATGACGACGCCATCAGAGAAACAGAACACGAATTCAACGAACAGGGGTTTCACCCAGAATTCCACAGCGTTGATGTTTCCGATAAAGCCCAATGTCTTTCGGGAGTAGGAAAGGTTGCAGACGCCAATGGTGCAGTCATACATTATCTTGTTAATTGCGCTGTCTATTTTGGCTCTCAAGGTAGGGTCTCATTTTCTATAATTCGTTTTTGGAACGTACATCCTCCTGCAGTGGCTCCAATTTTCTACTTATTGTGTTAAGTGATCTGGAGGTCAGTTGCAGTAGTTTTTAGAAAATCAGCAATGCCCCTTGGTATGGTCTCAGATTGTGATATCAGTACTTGAATGATGGGGGTAGGGGGTATAAGACACTGTTTCTTCCACGTTAAATTATAATTTGGGATAGTTGGGGTTTGTTTTTCTTATGACTTGTGTTCTCTTAGATGTTTTCTTTTTGCGATGTTCTGGAACCATATTTGGTACATTCCCGTTGGCACTTGCGCATGCGTATTTAATGTTGACAGGTCTTGAGGCCGAACACAAGGACTGGTCCAGAACAATGGCGGTGAATGTCGAGGGTATATCCAATATGGTCCAATCATGTTATCCTTATATGGTCAAAGGTGAGTTAAACCAACCTCGATATATGCAAAGAACAAAAATATGTCCGAACAACGAAATTTTTTATACATTTGCTTATGTACTTATTTACCTTAATATTGAAGATATTAGAAAGGTTAAATGTTGGAAGCAAGCAAAAAAGCATGCCAATGATTCCTTGATAATTTGAATTTTGGCCGACAAAAATGCAAGATGCAAGAAATCCAGAAATGTCCAAATCCATTGACATTGTAAAGAGGGACGCCTAATTTTCAAAATTCTCGACAGATGGTTATAGTGCTACAATGTATAGGGCTTTTTGAAATATTGACATGACATGGCATTATGAGAAAGTTAGAAATGTTTCAAGTGTAACAGTTATTTTGAAACTTTCCACTAATCCGTATCCATTCGATATCTTTGAAGCAAATAATATGTCCATGTTAGACATGTTAGAGTAGGATTTAGATCTAAAGCTGTTCATTCAAATTGTCAAATACAGCTATACATTATTCATTACAGCTAAGAATAGTTCAATTTAGAGCTAAGTCGACTTGTTTATTGTAGCTGGTGGTCGTGAATGCGGGATTGTAAACTTATCCAGTATTTCGGCCCATCGAGCCCAGAAAGCAAGATGGACGTACTCGGCTTCAAAGGGAGCCATTCTTTCACTCACTCGGTGCATGGCTTTGGATCTTTCCCAAGATGGCATCCGTGTCAATTCCATCAGTCCGGCCTGGATATGGAGCCCTGAGGTAAAGGTGTTAACCCAAAAAACTGTCACAGGGACTTTAATATTCAACTGGTTCTTAATTCCTAATGGAAATCCCTCTTTGAGTTTTTAAGCCGTGGAGGAGTTCGTCAAGGGTCTATTTTCAGGAATCTTTTAATATCTAATTAGCATTCACTTCAATTAAATTTGTATCACATTAGTACTCAAAGTCGTTCGAAATTGATTGAAGTTCAATAAGAAAGGACTTTTGAAATAATTTAGAAAGAGATATACCTATTACTAGATTAAGTATTATGGGAGTTCTAATGCAAATGCATCAGGTAACATGTATTATGAGCGTATGCTTTCAAATGTTCTTGTTCAATCATATATCAATAGAATCGAAGCATACAAGGGACCACTTTTCATTTGTAGCGCGTATAGCTCATTCATCACAGATTTCAAGTTATAAATGTTGTGAAAAGAAGAAAATAGTTTTTGTAATTTGATAACTAACCTAAAGGACATGCTTTAGCGCATAGCTCATTTATAGTTTATTATAACATTAAGAATTATAACATTGGTGTGGCAGTCGTGATTAAAAATATCTTTTTTCATGATTAGGGGGCCAAAGGAGCTGGATTTGACAGAAAGTCATCGGAGGCTAGAGGAGGCAATTTTCACATGTTAAGGCGATTTGGCGAAATGGCCGAATGCGCAGCAACAATAACTTTCCTGTGTAGCAAAGACGCTTCGTTTATAACTGGCACAGATTTAGGAGTGGACGGGGGTTACCTTTCGATGTCTGCGGAGGGATTTGGAGAAAGCTCGTCATTCGCCGGAAGTGCTTTGAAAGTTGATCAATAGGCATAACGTGGTTGAAGATGGGGCCAGCTGGGAAGTTGGGGCCAGCTGGGAAGGTGGTGTTGAACATGAGACAGATGGACTACCCCTTGATGAAATAATTTTTTGACCACAGGGTTACATGTTTTCGGAGATATAATTGCTATCTACTGATCCATCTGTGCAAATGCAGTCATATCAATCGAGGTCATTCAATAGTATACTAAATTTATACAAAGATTTTGAACTGCTCTAGAAAATTTGAATAAGCTTGCACTAGATTGTCCCACAACAAGTTTTCAATCAAATATTATCTGTCTGCAAACCAATACTCATATTTGAAAGGTTTTGTTTATTGTCGTTATACATATAGTCTTTTTATTCCTATATATTAATATAATATACAGTATTATCATATCTGAATGGAAATTGTTTACAATATATAGAGGGAACGCTATAAGTGTTCGTCGATATAAAATATTCATTCTATACACGTGTGCACGATGTTGTGTTTTGTATGAGTGTAGCGCCTTCAGAAATGCAGTCTTTTGTGCCAGCCTCATGATCTTGGTGATCGCCCGGGCTTTCATTTTCATCATTTGTGTTGGTATCATCAAGAACATTTACACGATTGTCATCATCAATAGCGTTATCAATCTTATCTGGGTTAATGTCTTCATTCATGCCCCTTAACAATTTCTGCCCAGCCAATGTTATTAGATAAAAGAAGACAAAGCCGAATACTATGATTCCGACAGAAAGGCCAATGAGTGCAGGCGACAATGGTACAATTATAAAGGCACTGATCAATGCAGCGGCATCTAGAACATATACGAGGCTGGCTAATACGAGTCTATGAAAATGACTACTCAGCACAGAGCCAAGAGGTGCCCCAATCACGACAATCGGGACGCAAACGGCCAAGTAATCCCAGGCATCTTGTGATACGGTCGTCATCATTAGTTGGCGCCAAAAGAAACCAATCATTGTATTTCCTGCCATTAGGATAACGGAAGTAGGTGTCGCCACTTTCTCTGAAACTCTAAACAGGAGAGTAAGAATACTGAAGCTACATATATCAAGTCCACTTCCAGCTATTGCAGAAAATACACCTCCGAAGAACCCAGTGAGTAGGAGTGCTCCACTTTTCCAAATTTTAAAATCAGGAATCTTTGAAAATGTCTTTCTCTTGTGGTACCTATTCAGCAGAAACAGGGCAAATGCGAAAGAAAACCACACGCATACAAATCCCATTTTCTTCTGAGGGGCTGACAATATTGGATCTATGAATTCAAGGCCGATAACCATTCCGAAGGCCCCTCCTGCCGAGCAGAAAATAACAGAATACCATTCCAACTGAACACGCATGAAGAAAATCGTGAACGCAGCTGCAGTCATCCCACATGATTGAATCATTAAGCTGAAATCCCTGGCGACAGATGGCGCTATCTTAAACGCCAGTGTCATGACAGGAAAGGCAACCGCACCACCCCCTTCACTGGTCATACCTATAAAATAGCAATGAAAAAATTATGTTAACATTTAGTACAGAAATGTCTCAGAAATACATTACTTACAGGGTTGGCCGAAAAGTTTAATATGGCGATAACGTTTAAATAAAGCATGTAATTATTTTTTTAAATGTTTGCTGCAGATGCAGTGACAAATTGAGTGAATGGCGAAATCGGTTCACTATATATAATAGAATTTTTACCAGCGATCATAGAGCCAAATATCATCGTGATGCTGATAAAATATCTATCAGGGAATAACTGCCAGAGGTTATAACGAACTGCCAATGCCCACCAGACCATGTGAAAGAAAGCTGCCGGCAATAAGAGTCCTAGTAATCTACGATGCCGTACTACAAGTCGTTTGTACCTGAAACCATATTGTCAGATCATCACAGGTGAAGGGTGAATAGTTGTCCTTTGGTATCATGGTACATTTCTCAATTACAACAACGCTAGGTTTTAGGCCTCTTTAAAGATCATAGGCAAAGGCCGATAGAAATAATTTTGAAATAAATATGGCATGGTAATCGATGTGTGTTTATTTATAAATATTCTAAAAAGATAATACTGGATTCTGTTGGTGCTGCCATCTTTATATCGGCCCAGAACCTATGATAAAGATGGCAGCAGTGGTAGAATTTTATAATGTTTTATATAAAACATTGATTGCACTGCCATCTTTTAAACGATAACCATGATTTTTTACCTTTAGCCTGGTTAATACTTTTTTAGGACAAAATTTGTTTCTTAATCTTAATCTCCAAAGATCATAATCTTGGGCTCCGTGCAACGTAGTTGAAAGATTATGTCGAAGGTGTTATTCTTTGGATGGATGGAATCTGTAGACCGATACAGAAGGTCACACAATAATAAGATGAAAACTTGGAACACTTTTTAGTGTGCTCTTAACCTACCATGGTGTATCAGGTCCTAAGTGTGCTAATGCAATGGTCTGTCTCTTGTCTAACGCTTGACCTGCAAGAAATTTTGCATTTTTATTTTCAACATAGCTAAGTTCAAAACGCTTTACAGTAATAAGTAGGTAATTAATTACATCTTGATGAAATTCAAAATCTCAAAGGTTATCCTCATTCATAATTATAAAGATTAACAACAAAGTTAGAAAAGGAACAATGCAGTAGTTCGACCGGACATACAGAAGGACACTTCTAACATTCCAAGCAATGATCTTCCGTTCAAAGAGACAGTGTCTGAGGGACTCTCCCACCCGACTCGGTTCTTTCTGCATCGAGGAAATCCCGATATCACTAGACTGAAGAGCTTCGAAATGAAATTACATGTAATATTTGAACTGCTTTGGAAAAAAGGGGAGCATGTAAAATAATTCGGATGATTTTACGAATGTTTGGATCTGAATATTGGCTGGTCTCAAATATTGGTCATCGTACATATTTTGATATTATAATTAAGTACAGATGCACGATATAAACATCACATGTGTTGCATGTGTACATGTGTTTACAATAATGTAATGAAATCGTGAAGCCATTAATTACATTTTGATTGAAATTGAATAATGTGTTATGTACTAGAAACATATGTAAGGCGACAAGGCCGCGTGGACTAATGGTATAGAGGTCAACCTACAGGTGAATTAATAAATGAATAAACACAAGGAGCACACGCGTCTCGAACTCGCAACCTCGTTTCCATATATTGTTGAGAATGTGGTGTTAACAGTTTGTTGTTGGGAGAATACGCAATGTGTATCACTTAGTTATTTGATCTTTGTTTTACACAGTGGATTATTTTCAATATTTTCGAGAGCACGGAGCTGAGTTCTTATATTTTAAGTTCAACAAGATAACACTACTCAATAGAAAAGTTTGGAAGTTTGTCTTTTTCTAACACGTACACGTTTTTTCAATTTTTTTTTTTCAATTTCAAAATAATTTATTTCAGTTTTAAAGAACTTGTGCATGAACGTGTAAAATAACGACCCCTGGGGATGACAGCACCTCTCTCAACTGTTTTTTTTTATCATGGACTTCTGGAACTATTTTCTCAATATCTTTTTATAATAACTTGTCCCTAGAGGACTATAGTTCTACACGTTTACTTTAAAAGTTCTAAAGACGTGTAGCTTAAGTAAACCTCCCTAATTATCGATTCCTCGCCTACGTGTTTGCTTTATCGGCGCAAAAGGAGGAGGGAAATTAGCGCAACAGATTTTGGACAGTCATATGTTTGATTTTGGCCATTTCCTGGGGATTTAAACAGGTGCATATGTTAGGCGAATGCATTACCTCCAGGAAAATCACTTTTAGAGATAATAAAATAATTTCGACTTTGAGACAGGGTAGATGCAAACAACCCACCCACATGTTTTTTCTGAAATGTTTTCCTGATTTTCAACTCCTTCCATCCCTGCTTTTTTAATTTTTCTTGCATCAATATGTTGTGTTTTGACACACAGTTAATCCCTTAAAAGGAATAAATGATTCCTTTTGGATAAAGTGGAAAACAATATATTTCCCTTGTTATTTTCCCATGGGGAAAAATCATTGCTTTCAGCTAAGTTTGGTCACCAATAATGGGTATCTTTAAAACCCCTGAAAGAATCACTCACTCCTTCAGAGTGATTAACTGTGTGTCAAAACGCAACATATTGATGCAAGAAAATTAAAAAAGCAGGGATGGAAGGGGTCGAAAATTAGGAAAATGTTTAAGAAAAAACATGTGGGTGGGTTGTTTGCATCTACCCTGTCTCAAAGTCGAAATTATTTTATCGTCTCTAGAAGTGATTTTCCTGGGGGTTATGCATTGGCCTAACATATGCAATTGTTTAAATCCTCAGAAAATGGCCAAAATCCAACAATGTCCAAAATCTGTTGCGCTAATTTCCCTCCTCCTTTCCCAGTAGCCTACGCAAAAGCTCATATCTAAAATTCACCTTTCAAAACGTATAAGGTATATATAAAAAACATTTTCTTCTAGGGTCAGTGATAAACTTATGCAAGACACATATTTTCATAAACCTTCATATTAATATAGTATTTTTCTTTGGTGAGTTTGGCATTTTGAAAAAAATATAAGACAATAATGTACATCATTAAAGTTTGACCTCGTGTAAATGAACGATGTTTTTTTGTGGAAAATTTTTATTTATTACTCAAATTTCTATTTTGTGGTCTCGTTCAACTTGAACTTGGAAGTTGGGGGTCGCAAGTCACCCCAGGGTAATTTCACTTTTAAGTGGGATACCCTATCAACTTAAAAACATTTTCTTACCCTCCCAGAAGTATTTGGAACACCAAAGTGGGCATGTTCTTGACATCTTTACTGTTGCCATTTATTCCAACTACACCAGGCTGGCCGTATATAGTTTTTCAAACTCGGCTTGGTCTTAAAGCTCGTGGCTGGTCCAAATTAGTCGGATACTGTTGAGGTTTAAATCTAAGGTTGATGAGAATCTCAAAATATCCAGAGGTTGATCCAAGACACTAAGCTGAGATCCAGTCGAACACGTCGGATACTGTTGAGGTTTAAATCTAAGGTTGAGTATCTCATCAAATATCAAGAGGTTGATCCAAGAAACTAAGCTGAGATCCAGTCGAACACCACTTCAAAGCATCATTCTTCAGGTCCTGAGATTGCACCTTTGCCCAGATGGAAAGTCGCTCCTGTTGGCGTTGGGTCTGAAGTCTTGTAAAATCTTTCTACATCTTGTCTTGTGAAAGAAGTTCCACGGTTATCAAACTATTTCTTCTACAGATGAATAACAGTTATTCTAATGCAACCTTTGTTTGTGTTATGTTTATTACATGTACGCACATTGCTAATGATTTTAACGACTGTAGTTAGAACTACCATATTAGTAAAAATATGGTGTCTCAAAATTAATGATATTGATACTGTTATATATAAACTGGGATGTTTCATAGTCTTTCTGGTATGGTCACATGGTCTCAGTTTAAAATCCAACATATATGGTTAGGGAACCATCAATACAGAAAATATTGGTACAGAGGGGACATTCTCAGTAGCAATACAGAGGATCACACGATAAAAACGTAATAGAATAATTTGAAGTGCATTACAGGATATATTCTGCTCTCGATAGTCTTTATTGGCACTCGACTTCGTCTCGTTCCAATACGGAATTTCTCAAGCACAAGCAGAATAATGCTGTATATCCTGTATTATTGCACTAAATAATTCATTCAATAACTTATAGTATTGAATTGCTTTATTGTGTTACATTATATTGCGTTGCAATAGATTGTATATTGCTCTGTATAAAGATTAATTTCCAAAGGATTTTACTTCCCCCTGGCCAAAATTTCTTTAAAAACCATGCAGTTTTTCACCATTCTGAGCACTTTTTAAGTTATTTTGGCCATTTTGTGAACCCCCTGGCATTTTTCAAAAAGTGACCCCCCCCCCCCCCCCCCTCACACCCGGGCTCACACCCCTTGGCAAATCCTGGCTACGGGCCTGCTTGCATTATATAAATATCTTGCACTGGAGACATAACAACACCGTGACAAACCTACGGATCTGGATACAACCAACTCTGTACCGCCAATTCTGGACACCATGTATTATGTGGACTATACTGATGAACATCCAAGAGACATTTTACGAGAAGCCGCTTACGGTAAACACGTTAACGACTTATCGAACCAAGCTATACCCTTCAATTTAACGTTCGTTTTGTTAATTGATGTTTTAGTTCAGTTGACCATATTTGTACTTGATGACGTACGGTTAATACGACCTATGAATGCCCGGAGACTCCGTTTTACTGTCATTTTACTGTTGTCGGTAATATTGAACGGAACCTATAACACGCTTGTATAAGACTGAATTCGCCATCGGTCAAAGTCGTCACAGAGAAAAATATAAACAGAAATTGTAGTTTTTACTTTGCAGATGCATTTTTAAAGCCAACTTCCAAAGATTGACCTTCATCAAACGCAATTTCAAAACAGTACTGAATGTGTCAAATTCTGTTCATTAACATAAATATGTTGAATACTTTGAATATGTAAACATATGGGAAAATACCAAACAGTATTACAAAGCTCACTTTCAAAAAAGTATAGCCTAACATAACCAGGCATGGGGCAAACAAACCCAATATCCCAAAGAGACGATGTCTCCCCTGCCCCTTCCAGCCCCAATGGGGAAAACAAACCCCAATATCCCTAAGATATCCCTTATGTCTCCCCCGCCCCCCCCCCCCGCCCGGCCCCATCACCAAAATACACTTGTACTTCCAGGGATACAATACATATGTAGTACAATATTGAACTACATTGCTTGCCGTCAAGGAAACCACCCCATTGGTGTTAATAGTGGGGAAAGGAAAGGTCAATGTGGTCATTGTATGGTCATCGAGGCCAGTTGTTTCAAGATTTAAATGAGATACAATTATTAAATGATCTGATATGAGAATGATAACGGATGGTCAAATCGATAGTAGCAAAACAGATGTGCGTATAGTTTGACCACAGTCGCGTCGGTAGTGACCAATGATGTGGCATAATCCAGTAATCTGAGCACTGAACGAAATATGTTTCGGTGACACCACAGTTGGCCTTACATCTGTACATGTTGTATTTAAAACAGTGGATACTGAAATGAGATCCAGGTGTACGATGCCTAGGACGAAGCATCTTTTCTTCATTCTAGACGATAATAACCTTTTCGCCTCAATTCGCCTCACCTATTTATTTTTGCCTCGCATATTTTTTGATCCTGTTGCTATGCGAGTAAAAGGCTAGGGTAAATAAAAGTGTTTAACATGTCATTTTCTAGTATATTGTATATATTGAACTAATTCCCCTACAACTGGTAACGGATAATAACTCAGTCTATGGTATTTCCAAATAAGGTATTGACATGATAAAATATTACCACCTGTAGATATTGCAAAATTAATGGTCAGAAAAGCACTCTGAGTGTGTTATAACCACCTTTAAATTCGAAGATGTACAAAGGTGAAATAATTTTTGACAAACGCCGGGTGTAATCAACTGACCTCCGAAAGTCGGTCGATAATAATATTTATGCCATATGTTTTCCGTGGGAAGAATCTCGTATCAGATCCAGTTAATGGATATCAAAACTATCAGAAAATTTCATGAGACTTGATATTGTGCTATTATTGTTGTATCATTTAATATCAATATCATTGGGTGACGACATACAAAACAAGTTTCACAAAAATATCATGGAATAAATTGGTCATTGGATTGATGGTCGTGATGGAATATAATTTTTTCTTCAAAAAAATATGATATTGCCTTCGGAAAATATCATATTGACACTCGGGCCATCGCCCTCCGTCAATATGATATTCCCCTTGGTCAATATCATATTATCCCTCGAAATAAAATTCATATTCCATCCCTCCCATTAAATAACCTCTATATCACCACTTCTTTTTAATATTACCCATGCTTTGAAAATGTATCCAATCCCTAGAAAACACACATAAATGAAAATGAACCTTGTATAAATGTATAGTAATTGAAATATTAGTAAGAGTCTAACATATACGAAAAGCTCTAGGATAAATGAGGATAACTATAAGGCTGCCCTGATATCCGTATCTACTCATATTCAAGTCTTGGGTTCCTTGAGGTAGTCCCGTATTACATAATGACAGCTCAAATACAGTAGTTATATCTTTATTTATGATCTCTCATCTCTCTATTCATACACAGGTTCTGGAAACCCTGATCCTTCCATTTTTTCTTTATAAAGTTTGTCAAACTGTTCACTTTCAGCCACAGTGAAGTAATTCTTCCAGTCATCAATCTTGCCTGAAAGTAAACAAACAAAATACTTTGAGATGTTGTAAATGCATTATCTATTTGAGAGTATTAGGGAACAAGTCAATATGTGATTGATTTACATCAACAAACAAAACGAATTACATCTCCTATTGACCCTTTTGTCACTCCTCAAAATGTTATTGAATATTTATAATCTTTTAAATTGCAAGTTTCTTTCCAAGTTGGCCTATTTTGTTATATGGACCTTATATCTCGTAAATGATAACCAATTTAATGACAGTATCCTCAGTTACATTTGATCAACGGTCACTGTACGGCGGCCGTAGCTCCCCAAATTATATAAAATATAGGGATAAGTAGTACTGTACGTTGTAGATTTTCTATAATATTGAATTTGTGAAGCTACGGCTACCCCAGAGCAAATGTGGCTGAGGCTTAATCTAATCCAGTTTTCCCGTTGATGGTACCCCTGGCACCTTCTCTGTTTATAACCCCAATTGATTTAAAGAAAAGATGCATGTAATAATTTACCTTTACGCATATGGCCTGGTGATCCCTTTAACGCTGTCATACCTTTGAACACATTAGAAAATGTTGGATTCTTTTTGCATTCCTCAAAATCTATATATTTCAATATTTTTGTGATTTGTTCTTCAGTTAAAGTTCTTCCAAAGAAATCTGCTAACTCTTTGGCGACTTTTCTACCATCCTGTAATAGAACATAATCTGCAAGATGGTTGTAGAGTTATCAGTGTTTTATTAATTATATGTTTAACCTCATTGCCTCATAGTTGAATAAGTAATGAACTACTTTGAAACTATTTTGTGGTTGAGAAATTAAATAGTTGCACGCTGAGTTCCCGCCCCCCGGGGTTGAGTTGATGTAATAAAATGCCTTGAACATTGTCTCATACTAAACAGCTTTACGAACATTACCTAATTTTGAGAGGGTTAGTAGTTCCACCTTCAAGATTGCCTCGTGTTTCGACACTAAAGAGTCCCATCCAGAGCATTGCCTTATAGTTGATTAAGTAAATAATTCCACCTTGAACATTGCCTCATTGTTTAGAAAGTAAATAGTTCCACCTTGAACACTGCCTCAGAGTTGGGAAAATAAATAGTTTCACTTTAAACCTTGCCAAATTGTTAAGGAAGTTAATAGTTTCACCTTCAACATTAACGACATCTTAGTTGAGAAAGTAAATAGTTTCACCTTGAACATTGCCTCCTAGTTTAGAAAGTAAATATTTTCACCTTGATCATTTCCTCATAGTTGAGAAAGTAAATCTTTTCACCTTGAACATTACCCCTTAGTTAAGAGAGTAAATAATTTCACTTTGAACATTACCTCAGAGTTGAGAAAGTTCAAAGTTTCACCTTGAATATTGCCTCAAAATTGAGAAAGTAAAAAGTTTCACCTTGAACATTGCCTCCTAGTTGAGAAAGTAAATATTTTCACCTTGATCATTTCCTCATGGTTGAGAAAGTAAATCTTTTCACCTTGAACATTACCCCATAGTTAAGAGAGTAAATAATTTCACTTTGAACATTACCTCAGAGTTGAGAAAGTTCAAAGTTTCACCTTGAATATTGCCTCAAAATTGAGAAAGCAAAAAGTTTCACCTTGAACATTGCCTCATTGTTGAGAAAGTAGATTTGTTCACCTTGAATGTTGCCTGATAATTGAGAAAGTAGATAGTTTCACCTTAAACATTGCATCATAGTTGAGGAAGTTGATAGTTTCACCTTGAACATTGCCTCATAGTTGAGGAAGTAAATAGGTTCACCTTGAATGTTGCCTCAAAGTTGAGAAAGAAAAAAGTTTCACTTTGAACATTGCCTCTTAGTTGAGAAAGTAGATAGTTTCACCTTGAATATTGCCTCATCGTTGAGGAAGTTAATAGTTTCACCTTGAACATTGCCTCATTGTTGAGAAAGTAGATTTGTTCACCTTGAATGTTGCCTGATAATTGAGAAAGTAGATAGTTTCACCTTAAACATTGCATCATAGTTGAGGAAGTTGATAGTTTCACCTTGAACATTGCCTCATAGTTGAGGAAGTAAATAGGTTCACCTTGAATGTTGCCTCAAAGTTGAGAAAGAAAAAAGTTTCACTTTGAACATTGCCTCTTAGTTGAGAAAGTAGATAGTTTCACCTTGAACATTGCCTCATAGTTGAGGAAGTTAATAGGTTCACCTTGAATGTTGCCTCAAAGTTGAGAAAGAGAAAAGTTTCACTTTGAACATTGCCTCTTAGTTGAGGAAGTAGATAGTTTCACCTTGAACATTGCCTCATAGTTGAGGAAGTTAATAGGTTCACCTTGAACATTGCCTTATTGTTGAGAAAGTAGATGTGTTCACATTGAATATTGCCTCATGGTTAAGAAAGTAAATAATTTCACTTTGAACATTACCTCAGAGTTGAGGAAGTTAATATGTTCACCTTGAACATTACCTAATAGTTGAGAAAGAAGATAGTATCACCTTGAACATTGCCTCATAGTTAAGGAGTTAATAGGTTCACCTTGAACATTGCCTTATTGTTGAGAAAGTAGATGTGTTCACATTGAATATTGCCTCATTGTTGAGAAAGTAAATAATTTCACTTTGAACATTACCTCAGAGTTGAGGAAGTTAATATGTTCACCTTGAACATTACCTAATAGTTGAGAAAGGAAAAAGTTTCATCTTGAACATTGCCTCATAGTTGAGGAAGTTAATAGGTTCACCTTGAACATTGCCTCATAGTTGAGAAAGTAAACATCGAGATGATCCCTGTGTTTCCACCAGGTAAGATAGAAGTCAAACCAGGAGCTCAGAATCACTAAAATTAGAAAAGTATCAATTAAAGAAGAATCGATTACTGGAGTAGATACATGTATACTATTATGTCGTGTGAGGTGGATAATATCCCTCATATATATAATATGGGACAGGGGATATTTCACTCTGTCAGCTTATAATAATGTCACCACCACATGTAATGATATATTGTTATGGTCTCTTACTTTATTTGTGGACGGCGTTCGGCGGTTGGTGTTCGGCGTTGGGGGGTTAGTGTTCGGACTTAGGCAGTCGGCGGCTATAACAAATTGCAGATTAATGCCTTGTTAATTAATGAATAGATTACTGTAAACGTACAATGTTTGCCTTCCCCTGAGATGGCAGCAGCAAAGAAGTCCTCCCATGTTATATCTGGGAAGTGAACGGACGTGCTTTCCTTTAATGTTTTATACCAGCTCAAGTAGGTCGATTTTGGGTTCCTTGTCTGCACAACAATCTAGAGCAAAAATAATGAGAATGCATGTACATTCATGTAAATACATAATTCAGTAGATTTTTGATACGACAGGCATTTTGAAAAATTAATGCCGTTTTAAGCTAATTTTACATCAAAAATAAATTCATGAAATGTTCAAACTCAGTTTCAAATATAGTAATAGTAAGCTAATAGAAGGCCATGCACGATTTCTCATGAAGACCATGATTTCTCATGAAGGCCACGATTTCTCATAATAAATGGATGGGAAGGTATACACAGATGGAATGAAGAGGAATGGATCTGCTACTATATCTAAATGTATTTCAATATTTAGACACTGGTAATCTATATTTAATAATCTAATAATTTTTACCTTACATTTCCCCTGTCTTACACCATACGGGGCATATTCATAGAGACCATGTGTTTTGAAGATTCTAGGTGGCTTCCTATTGGTCAACCAAGGTATTGGACTCTCACCATAGTCAAATGGTCCAAGTTTGCCAGGTACAAGAACTATAAACACACATTCAAAGAAGCATTCCAATGACATGAAAGCTAGATATAGTATCAATATCTACTGACTGATATATTTAGGTGCTATGGAAGTTAGCAGGAAATGACAAAACAAAAAATGTCAAAGCCATGCTGGATTTTGAAATTTTTTTGAACCAAGATAACCGAGTTCTCTTTGGACCTCCAGTCAGTTTAACTAGTTCCACATATCATTTACATGACCGGGAACACAATGAAAATGGTCAGAGTGACCATAAACATGATGAAATAACCTTTTCAGCCCTCTGAAAATGTGACTGAAAAATAGCTAAGATTAGGTGCTCACGAAAGGTCACTGAACAGAATCTTTTGACTTTTTCAGAAAATGTGCCCAATATATTGTTCTAAATGATACAATTTTAAAAAATTTCATATCATTCTTAGAAAAAGAAAAAGATGAAAAAAACTGAATTTAAAATCGATCTATTTTCCTTTTAACTACACGGTCAAGCCAAGTAACTTGGTCAACATTCGATAATCGTATGTTCATCAGTATTCACTAAAAATGGTGCCACAATTGAAGTAAACTTCTGGTTGATTATTTTCAATAAACCTATCAGCAAACGTGTAAATGTTAATTTTGATGTTCTGTTACATATTGGTGAAGCAATCTTTGGGATATGACCTAAATTTCTGATTTTCCACTGTGTCCCTGTATACCCCTACTTCAAAAGATGTATGTTATTTGTCATTTTTCATTATGAACCAACCATCGATGTATTTTTTCTTGTTTACATACAGGATGAACTTTCTGTTTTTAAATATTGCAAGATGGTACCGCATTTATTTGTTCATGATAAGGAGCAAACAAATGCGTGTCAATTTACACTGTAATATCCTACATACTTATATTTCAAGGGTAGTATTGAAGAATAATCAAGAAAAATCCATGTTTTCAAATGGATTCATCCTTGTCAAAGAAGGTAAATGAGGATATGCGGTTTAAAAAACTAACAACATGTTTCAAGTTCTTACAATTCTTGGTTAAAACAAATAATTTGAAACTTGTGATTTCAAATGTAATATCCTACACAATGAAATTTGTTCATATTTGTGAATTTTTTCTTTTGGAATGCACATTGCTGGATCACAGAACCTTGCCTTGTTCGAGATGCACGAAAAGTGTATTGTTAATACTTGACGTCGTTCGGATATTTGGATGTGATTGACGTTTTCGTTAATCTCCTACCACTGTAACTTCCAACTTAATTTTTGGAAGTCAAATGTGATAGTCACGAATTGATATTTAAGTCACACGTTTATGCATACATCATGTGTGTACATTAACTGCTGAATACATGCCGACTTACATTTTTATAAATATCCATAGTTAACTCAAACCATCAATTCTCGAAACGGTTTATCATATAACCTGGTGAGGTTAATGTTTCATTTTAATTCATAATTATGGTATCAGATTTGAGTATGATATAAGTCGAGGCTTAAACAAAGCAATAAAATTACGTGAAACCTTTTGTGAAAATTCGAACGATTTTTCCAGAATCCTCCTTCAAATTGTTACCAAAGTGCTCCCCGGGAGTGGAAATTTCGTCTTGTGTAATCAAAATTATAGCGGGTGGTTTGAATTTTTGTTTGAGTTTATTGCTTACATCTATAAATTTAAAACCATATCGGCTTATTGAGAGCTACATGCAGATTTTGGCGATCTATCTTTATAAAAGGCTAAATATTGTGCAAAAACACGAGTTGACACGCTTTCATTTGGAAATGAAATTTCCTACATAATCGTCGACTCATGTTTAAAAGTCTTGAAAACAAGGTTGAACACAAAACATTGACCCGGTTACTGTCTATTTAGCATGGGATCACTAAAGGAAATATCATTAATGACTTAAATCGTTTACAATTAAATCGTATTCCAAGAAAGTTATCAATTTAGAAATGCAAAATGTTCAATTTTGTTTTTCAATTATAAAAAATGGCACCTGTAGAGAACAACGTTTTCAAAATCATTTAGAACAGAGACATTTACAATTGTAACTTTGATTGGCATGTGTCAGGGAGTAAATAAGAAGAATATGCATTTGATTCTATATCTTGTTCCCAAAGGGATTGTTAAGGAGCGGTATATCTTAACGTACTTTTATCATCCCGAACTCATACAATTCGAATACTCATTTCGAGAACGCTTTGTTGAGAATGGATTCGAGATGTACTCAAAATTAATACGTTAAAAAATGTATTATCATCTTAAAAACAACCTCACAAATTATTTTGGAAATCAAAGATGTGCGATTTTTGAGATTTTTATTTTTGAATGTCAAAATCCAGCATGGTTTTGACATTTTTTGTTTTGTCATTTCCTGTTATCTTCTATAGCACCTTTACATAACAGTTTTTCAGGTTTTATAAACGATCGAAACCAATTGTTAATTTTTACATATCGTATCTTGCTTTTACAATATTAATTTTACCATCTCTGCTTATTAAAAGATGACTTTCTCGCTCATGTACAGATGTAGTATACATGTACTCTATATCTGCATTGTTAAGCACCAATTGTACCAGTTCTAGACCAATGTAGGTGCCTGAAAATATTAAAGTAGAAGATTTCTGCACCATGCATGTAGATAAGTTTTACGTTACTATCAAGACATTCGTATTTATCCAATGCAGATACAGCATCATAGCAAAATCTAATCGTAAAAATCGTCATAAGAATTTGAAGTTCACCATGAACCAAGTTGAGATTTTCAAGAATGCCATACACCTAGTTAAGAATTTGAAGATAACCATGCTCTCAGTTCAGAATTTGAAGATTACCAGACGCCCAGTTGAGAATTTGAAGATTACCAGACGCCCAGTTGAGAATTTGAAGATTACCAGACGCCCAGTTGAGGATTTGAAGATTACCAGCTGGCACCCAGTTGAGACTTTGAAGATTACCATGCACCCAGTTGAGACTTTGAAGATTATCATGCAACCAGTTCAGAATTTGAAAATTACCATGCACCCATTTGAGGATTTGAAGATTACCATGAACTCAGTTGATAATTTGAAGATTACCATGCACCCAATTCAGAATTTTGAAGATTACCATGCACCCAGTTGATAATTTGAAGATTACCATGCACCCAATTCAGAATTTTGAAGATTACCATGCACCCAGTTGAGAATTTGAAGATTACCATGCACTCAGTTGAGGTTTTCAAAAATGCACCAAGATGAGACTTTGAAGTTTACCATGCACCCGGTTGAGAATTTGAAGATTACCACACACTCAGTTGAAAATTACCATATTCCCAGTTGAGACTTCGAAGATTACCATGCACCCAGTTGAGACTTTGAAGATTACAATACACCCGGAGTGAAAATTTGAAAATGACCATACTTCCAGTTGAGACTTTGAAGATTACCATGCACCCAGTTGAGACTTTGAAGATTACCATACACCTAGTTAAAATTTGAAGATTACCATGCATCGTAACTAATAAACGTATTCCACTTTCAGTCATTCCAGCCCCAATCACGATTTTTCTGTCGCCGTGTATTTTCTCTTAAATAACCCCGTACCTGTAGTGCTAATCATTATGGTTGTATAGGATGGTTCAGTTCCTAATATTGTCAATAAAAGTTTGGCTCCATTTGTCCACTTATGTGTTGTTACGCGAAATTCGATATTAAATGTTGGATAAATTACGTTATGCTCGGTAACGTAATTTAAAACGATTGTTAATTCTTTTCTGATCCTTGATTTAGAGTTTCAAATAGGGGAACATTCTTTCAGAAAATGGGTAAATCAAGAGAAGTGATTCAAAAAGTCTATATTGAATGGAAAAGAGAAAAGATGGGGGAAAGTGCAGAAAGAAAGGGCACGTGTTAAGGAAATGGTGGGACAGAACATTTTTGAAAAAATTGCAATACATGCTCATTTTATTTTCTTGTACAAAATAAAGTATGAAGGCATGTAGAAATTTCAGGAAAGTATCGTCACAGTGTCTTCTTTTATTGAGTCTGATAAGAGGTCAATTTTTACTCCGGGAAATGCTGCAATGTCATGAAAAACATTCAAAATGGACGTATTTTCAATTTTCCAATGTTTTCTCAAAGTTTCTGTACAACACTTGAGTTACCATGGACCTTTTACCAAGTTTATTAAAAGAAGATAATGTGAAAATGTTTTCCTGAAAAACAAGGAAATGCACACGTGCCAAAATACTTTATTTTCAACAGAAAATAACATGTTCATGTTTATCAAATTTTTCAAAAGTGTTTTCGTTACACCATTAGCGGTAGCACACACCCAGAGTAGAGCTCCCCCCTTAAAAACGTTTGTTTCTTGCTTTGCCTCGTGGAGTGCAACAAATGAACCCCAGAGTAAGAGCACTGACGCAGACGAACCCTATGCTAATGAAGCAGCTGTTATGTACATGATTTACAATTATACTGCTGCAGTCTATGATTGTGCTTTGTACATTGGAAAGGTAGTTAATGTGGATGGCGTGCTACGAAACATCATTTATGACTAACAGACGGGGGTACTTTCAGCGCGCCTTCACCAGAACGTACCCTGGGTAGCCAGAACATGTACTCTGGGTAGAACATGCAAACGTTCTTTGCCAAATAGTGGATTTGATTCCCAAGTGGGAGAATGCAAGAATGTTCAGAATTACAATGTACCTGGACTGATGATGAACTATTTGTCTCCAAAAATTTAATCAAGAGACAATGACGTCTGATATGTGGTTTTGGACACATATGATTTGAAAATACGTTTTATTGTAAACATTTACTAGTTCACGTTGACATTGACATCTCTAGAGATGTTGAATTAAGTGATAAAGTTGTTATAAGAAGTTTAAGTTTTACATACACTTTGAACAATATTTGCTCTCGTTATCTAATGACGACTATACAGTTTCTTAACAAGCGTTACCAAAATTCTAATTCAGTGCCAGGTGTCTAACCAAGTTCATTTAGCACCATTATTATTCACAATGTGAAATAATGTCTTCTTGATCAGATTTAATGACACATGATGTTCCAAGACGTTGATCTACGTTACCATTCGTTTAAATATAGTACGCAAATGCTACATTTTACATGAACATAGTGTGTTTTCATGAAATGAGTTTCTCTTTATATAGAACGGACCAAGTTAATTCTTTGGAAACCACTATATTGTACAACTGATTGAAATTGAAAATGTCAGCTCCCAGCAATTAATCTACGTTACAATATAGGCGTGTTCAATGCTTGAGTTTTTTTTACAAATAGATAACCATGACAGTATCCAACATTAGTGTTTAACAATGCAGAGATATACATTTTGGAAATTACAATTTTAAGGACAAAAATATTTGTAATTGAGCAACACAAGTTCAAAAGCCAGCAATCTCTAATCCTCCTGATAAGTATCAGTACCCTAATGTCTGTACTTTAAGGTAGAAAAACATTTTATTCGGTAGCACTGTCATAAATTAAGAAGTGTTCAAATCAATTAAGATGGTGCCCATAACGTAATTTAAAGTGGCACAAAAACTTTAAATGTGTACCACATATTTCAAATCAAAATTACTACGAAACCAAGAGAGTCTAAAAGCCAATTTTTTAGTATTATGCTGCAGACATATAACATCATAAAATAACAAGGTATGACCTGAAACGGAGAAACTTTATTTTTATCATTTTCTGAAAACTGTTTGGGGCATTACTATCTGGAATGACTGTTTACAGGTTTTACTGCCATGCATTATCATATCATGCTGTACCTGTTTTGCATTGATCTCACCTGATCTCATATATCCAGTGAAATATACATCATCTTTGTAGATTTCCAGGTTTCTTAGTTTGTCAGTGAACATATCAGGGTGCCAGACACCAGCGAACAGTGCATGTCCATCCTGGTACCTCATCCCCTTTGCTTTCTCCAGCAGTCTTTCAGCCATTTCGTTCACGGATAGCATCGGCCTGAAAACATGTATAACAATTATTTCTTAGGGAACTCAGATTCCGTTTTTTATTTATACATGCTCTCGTGCCTTAGCATTGCCCTGCCATTTCGGTATTTTTACTTACCTAGGCCTTACTTATTGATTTACTTTACCGTCTTGTGGCAAGGCTATCGTTTCTATGCTTGGAGGGATGTGAGTCTGCCTCGTACTATACATGTACCTCTTGACCTCTGAACGTGTGAACACAGGGAACACTATGGGCAAACATTACTTCCTGCGAAAGCTATTTGGATTTTGATATAATAGCTTTCCCACGGAGCATTTGGACAGCTGAATGATTGTGACCTTTGAAATCGAATTAAGTCGATCCGCGGCTTACTTTTGGTCTTTAACTGTGTCTTACATCAGTATCATCAATCCGTGTAAGTATTAGAGCGCTGAAATACTTCTTTTTCGATCAAGACTTGTAAATTGTTCATCGAGTGAATGTTTTTTAGACCTACAGGGTGTTCCATATGTTTCAGGAATGATGCTCTGTTTTATTGGTTTTCTTTTCAATCTTATTGAATTTTTAACACAATGTGTCTAAACATGTTTTGAATAAGTTGGCAAAGTTTCATATCGTGAAGTTCAGTAGTCTTAAGTATATGGTTGCTATAGTAACCTAGGGGTAGGGTAGGTGGAGCAGGTGTAACAACGCGCAAAATATATGAAATATTTGTAAAAAATAGTTTTTTTGTACGAAATGTGACTAAGTTTTAGATTGTCAGAGTTGGATCAAACTTGTCAGTAATTAAACAAAAATTAAGGTGGATTCCAATAAAGTAAAAAAATGTCATCACCCTTGATCACATCACAATTTGAACACCTGTCATGTCATGAGTCACAAAGGAGGATAAACACAGGTCATTTTGGACGAGCGGCCATCTTGAAAAGTGAAAAAGTCATTAGCAAAGGAAAACCTTCTACTTAGGCAACACACAACAATCTATGACAAGACATGACATGTGTGAATAACAGTTTCCTGCAGCAGTCACAATTAAACTCCTGACGAATGCACATGGGGACTCAATGATGGTAACCTCTAGAGTGTATGAGTGGTACAAGCGGTTCAAATCTGGAAGGGATACTGAGACCGATTATCCAAAATGTGGACATCCGAGAACAGTGAGAGCGCTAACTAATGCGGAAGGGATAGATGCTGAAATTATGATGATGGCTAATAAATGGTGTGATATCATTTTTAATTTCCAGGAATCCACCTTTATTCTTTTTAATTTCCAACAAGTTTGATGCGACTATGACAAATTAATACTTTGAACACTTTATACAAAAACTACTATTTTTACAAAAATGTCATGTTTTGCGCGTTGTTACACCTGCTCCACCTACCCTACCCCTAGGTTACTATAGCAACCATATTATTCAGTCTACTGAGCTTCATGATATGAAATTTTTCCAACTTATTCACAACATATTTGGACACATTTGGTCAAATAATCAGCTAGATTGAAAAGAAAACCAAGAAAATACAGCATCATTCCTGAAACATATGGAACACCCTGTATTTCCAATATGGCGGTTTGCTAGGAGCGAGATACGCAACGAACGAAATGAATTTGGAGAATTAGTTAGGTTCGGACAACCTCCGGAGATTTACGAAAATGTCCGAGCAGAAAACGCCATATTGGAATTTGGCAGTAAAAACATTCACTCGACTAACAATTACAAGTCTTGATCGAAAAGGAAGTACTTCAGCGCTCCAATACTTACACGGATTGATGATACTGATGTAAGACACAGTTAGAGACCAAAAGTAAGCCGCGGATCGACTTAATTCGATTTCAAAGGTCACTATTAATCAGCTGTTCACTTCCCCGTTTGAGAGCCATAAGTTTCAAAATCTAACATAGCTCTCGAAGTGAGTAAGGCAAACACATTTGACTATGATTTTTAACCGTGTTAACCGTGTTGATTTTTAGGGCGACAACTTTGGGAGGTAGCATGTGTTGACATATAGGAGAATTATATAAAAATGTGTATTATTCAGTGGAACTACTCAGTTCATGTGGCTACTTGATCAATGCCCCCCCCCCCAACCCAGCAACAAAAAGAAAAAAGCAGTTTTGTATGTTTTTTAAAAATTGTAGATTTTTAATTTTTGCACCCGCTCATGATAAAATCTCAACGCCTGTAAATTATTGCAAACGGTTAGAAAACTAAACAATATGTTGACACTTTTTTAACATTGCTCATAATTCCTTGGGTGGATAGTACGCGTCTATTGTTTATGATGCTGAACGCCGAAAAGACGCCGTTCGGGTTTCACTCGATTATGATAAAAATATCATTCTTCTACCATGTATAATGAATCGAAAAATGTTGGTTATTCTAGATCAATGCCCCCCCCCCCCCCCCCCCCAACCGAACAAAAAAGAAAAAGCAGTTTTGTAATTTTTTTGAAAAAATTATACTTTGAAATGCTTAAAATACACCATATACAACGTAGATTTTTAATTTTCGCATCCGCTCATGATTTACTTCCTGCGAAAGCTATTTGGATTTTGTTCAAAATCTAACATGGCTCTCGAAGTGAGTAACTCATGATAAAATCTCCACGCGCTCAATTCCTCACCACTTTGTAATAATTTTAAAAATCACGCCGATTTTCAAACAAAACTCGTATAAAAAAATACTGTATTTCCTTCGTTTGTCTGTCATCGCATATTGGAGTACTAGAGAATCTCTTAGAGAACCGAGTCATTTTTATGTCACCGCAACAAGTGATGACATATTGTTTGTGGCGGCGGTCTGCGGTTGGTGTTCGGCGTCTAGACTGTAACGAATGACAGGTGGCCATGGTGATATGTTGCATATGCCTTGTGATAATCTATTCATCACATCTATGTTATTACATTTTTCCAATGGTTTTCAAAATTGCTTCTGGTGGATTTCAAGACCACGTGTTTGTACCTAACTCGTTCATTAATTCGTCAACTTTGAATGTGAACCTACCCCCCCCCCCCCCCTTTACGACCATGGTCCATGAATACGATTTATAACATAGCATATTCGAGAAATAAGTCCCAGGTTTTGCTATTTTCAAACAATCCTTTTTAAAGTAATTAACGAAACTGACAATCAAACGTCTCGTGATATTGCTAAGAGATTGGCTGCATTAGAAAGTACTTTACTTTTGTCGGACGTATGTACGTATGTAGTGTTTGAAGACATTAATTTATTCAATGACACTGTTCTAATATCCATCCCAGAGGTAGAATTTACCCCACCTTATCAATCTACCACTGGTGAAAAAGATGCCAATAAAATTAGATTCAAGATGGTTATTAAAGGATCCATGGCCCTGTACTACGAATGGACCAACAGAAGTTAAAGGATCCATGGCCCTGTACTACGAATGGACCAACAGATAGCCGGACGGACGCTTAGTCGATCCCATATGCTCGCTATGTGAGACAAAAAATGACAACAAATAAATATTTCCTATACTGTAAATACTAGCCATTTTATTTCATTAATAACCAACAAAGTATTATATATTATAATATTATATAACATGTATATTAGACCTACATATTCTATCCATCTCTCTATGGAAAGTGTATTCCTAACCTGACTAAATAGTATAGAATAATCAAGTACATCACTATTAAGACCCTATGAGGTAATTGTTCGTTTAGCAGAATTATTTCTAAAAAACATTCTGGGACCATTGACCAGTCTTTTTCATATTTTTGCTGAATCACAAAATATGACAAAATGAAAAAACAATAACAAAATCTTTGGAAGGTATGATAAATGACTAGTACCTAATTGCTAATGAGAAGGTTTTGACAAAAAATTCCCTTGTCCCTTCAATCCCTCTAGAAATATATTGGCCTCTGTATAAAACCCAATCCCTCATAGTAGATAACGTCTATATTATTAAGTACAGGATATTATATATAATCCAAATAGGAGATCCTTTCAAGTTTTTGATAATTAATACAATATGAGACAAATGTGTGGTAATGTTGCAATACTTTAATATGAAATATCATCATGCCAACAAAATATGAGATCTTATACAAGAATTCAATAAATAACCTTATAAATAGATATCCAATGGGTAAATCGTGATACAATGTCACTTTGGACTAATATCTTGAACATTTTATCACCGTTTCAGATGATTTAACACAATCGCTTAGGCAGGGACAATAATATCACATCACAATTTTACAATTCAATTTCAGTTTTCACAACTCTGTTATTCATTCTCTACTATTCTTCCTTCAAGACCCTGGATCCCCCCCCTCCTTTATCTGCTTTAACAACAACCTGTTGTAAAGTAGATAGGGGGGGGAGGTCCAGGGTTTTGAATCAAGACTAATTCTTCACATACATGTATATCTATCCAATTGTAGAGAGACACATTTAATATAAACAGCAGTAACACATGTTGTAACCAGTTTTAATCCATTCACCATGGTAACCATACCATCTACGTCTATAAAAACATAATATTCACATGATTGTTCCTTTGTCCAATCAAAATGCTTGAAAATGGTAATATTCAATTTTGCAACTTCTACAAAATGATCTCAAAGAAAATATGGATGCATTACAGCATTATGGATACTTAGATGACTAAGAATAAAAATATCATGAATGTACAGCCTTTACTAAAAGAAGACCTATCAAACTTAATAAAAAGACTATAAGCTTTTGAATGATTTGAAGTGCAATACAGGATATATTCTGCTTGAGAAATTTTGTACTGGAACAAGAAGTCGAGTGGAAATACAGAATATCGAGAGCAGAATATATCCTGTATTGCACTTCATTTCATTCTATAACGTTTTTATCGTATGATCTTACGCCAATACATTTTACCTAGGAAATAATCCCTTAGAAATATTCTGTATTCCCTGTATTGCTACTGAGATTGTCCCCTCCGTACCAATATTTTCTGTATTGCTCCGGAGATGATTAAAGGCCAGGGTCAATCTCAGTAGCAATACAGATTGGTACAGCACAAGAACTGACCAATCAGAAGGCTTTTATAGATCATAGGATAAAAGTATGTCTTGACTGAGCAACAAAAATGTCTGTATTAGCTATTTAATGTCTTTGGCATCACAATAACTGGTACAATATTCATTTACTGGTCTATAATGCTGTGTGTATGACTAGTGACTTCCATTATAGAAAGTCAGTAAATGCAATATCTGTTACTATGCCATACTTTTATTGTACAGTAAAACCTGTATACAGTGAACACCTATGGAGCAACATATGTTCACTATAGTTAGGTGTTCAATACAGAGAGGAAATTTTATACAGAACTCCATAGAGTACTGAGATACTGAGTGCTGAGATGAGGTGTTCACCAGACACAGGTGTTCACTTCGAGAGGTGTTCAATAATATAGGTTTTACTGTACTAGAATTGTAACAAAAACCTCAATTATGATTTATGGCATGTATGTCACTCAGATTTTTAATGTCCTTTGCTGAAGTTTATAACCTCTACAATTTTGATCTTTCAATAATGAACAGAATGGAATCGTCAGTCATATATTTAGCAGTTATGTCTCTATTATTGAATATTTGCCTGAGGTCTGTCATCAATATAGCCCGAGCTTGCGAGGGTTATATTGACGACGGACCAAAGATTGTCATGGTAAAAGGTTTGGCGGCTATACAGGACCTTCAGCTCCATTGACTTCAATACAAATGCTTCGCTAGGTATGTAATACTTCACTATAAATCATAGAATCTTGATCTTTTATTCCTTAATTCCTTAATAGTTTTTCAACAGAAAATGATTACAATGACATCAAATTGTGTGACAGGGTGATATCAGTGGGTAATACAAATTCTGTATTCCATGGACGAAAATATAATACAAGTTGCATACGTATATACAATATATATATATATAATATATTGTATAATACAAGTATAAATACAGGCTGTATATATTAACAGCATATGGCCCAATCAGATCACTAGAAATTGCACTGTCATTGAATAATACACCTGTCCCTTGTAGTTAATGTCTCCATTTATCTATACAATGACTCAATTCCTACAACTATTTTTCCCATAAATTTATATCTAATCATTGCTTTGTAAAGCCTATATATAAGGAGGACAATAATTCCTAGGAGATTTGTTACACTGGTCCTCCTTGATATAATATCAACACCACACCACTAATAGTATCTACGAATAGTATTCAGAGGTTAATCACATATTATCTTTTAAATTCTGTTGAATTTCCCATAATCCAAGAGAAGAAATCACATGACTGTTTCGGTATCCAATCAAAATGCTTTTAACTGTGGAATGTTCTCATAGAGATCTAAGGATTCTGGGTTGGAATAGGCTCCTCTGTGTAAGATTTTCTCCCCATTCAATATTTTCCTTATTGCGACCTCAACTTTCTTGCCACTTTGAGTATACTGAAAATAAATATGTTTACACTAAAAAATTAAAACAAACCATTCACATGCAAAATGTCACTACCTGCCATTTGTTATATACACTGCCTGCCAAACACCAACAGCCAAACACCAATCACAATAAATTGGAGACTATAACAATATGTCCCCACTTCTGGTACTGACATAATTAAAACTATATCCTCCTTCAAACTCTATTTTTATAACCCCAATAATACCCCAATAATCATTTTTTACATTTAATGAAAAGCCAAAGTTTCTTTCAGTTGAGTAATAGGTACAAGCTGGGTGAGGTATTCCACAACAGGCTTAGAGCCTAGTGAGTACCCCAAAAATATGAGAAAATATTGTAATACAGAATATAATTGTTATGAAAAATGTAAACATACACATAACTATGCATTGACATGCAAAATGTCACCACCATTTGTTACAGACGCCAACTGCCAACTGCTGATTGCCAACCACCGATCACCAACAGCCATCACAAAAATTGAGACCATAACAATACATGCAATATGTCGCCACTTTTTGGTATTGACATAAAAATGATACTATAAATAATGATAAAAATGCAATATTTACTGGAATGTCAGCTATTTCTAGTATGAGACTAGGTACGTGTCGAGCTGATAACTGCATGCGGATATTTGCACGTAGCCTTGTGCATAAATCATCAGTAAACTCAACTTCAGGCACCATCTTTAAAAAGAGAACAACTCTCTCTTCAGAGCCATCTTTGGTCCTCTGACCCACACACACGCTATCTTGTATTTCCTTGTAAGCCTCAACTGAAATTGAAGAATTTAGTTCAGACCAACATTCTAGTTAAGATTTAAAATAAGAATGCAACAAGACTCACAGTGATGCATATCTCACTTTGTCGAGCAAAATTACCGCTCGCTTGATATTGCACTTCTTCAAAATGTAATAAAAATATTATTGTACAGGTAAGGGCAAAATATCTCAATCCCCTGGTAGGCCTAATAACAATACACTTTTTTCAGAGACCCGGTTGTTTTATTTAATTGCACTACAGCTCATGAGTCAAGTAATGGTCAAAATTATAAGTATTATCAGGAAACACAAGTACATACATGTAGTTTCTGACCTGGTCACCACAAATCAATGTATCTGATTGGTCGGTTTCAGTCATATGATTGCCATTGATAATCATCTCGAATAGAAGTATAAATTGTAAGTTTTACTGATCATATTATCAAAAGAGAAAAAGATCCCTCACATTTGTTGTTGCTCGATGTTGAAAAATCCAGCACAATTATTTCATACCATATATTGTATAGGAGGTTTTTACTTCAACCAAGAACTTGTGAAGCAATTGTAGAAACTGTACAATAAGACTAACCTATGTTGTATATCTCTGCACTGCCAAATCTGACACCCTGTGGGTTAAGGGTGCCATCACTCCGTCCCTGCATTACAATGCCTCCAGTCTTAGGGTCTATGGTACAATAGTCTCCATGCGCCCAAATACCTGAAATATTTCAAATAAAGTAAGATATATTGATGTAAGCTATGTTAAGGGTGCCATCACTCCTTCCCTGCATTACAATGCCTCCAGTCTTAGGGTCTATGGTACAATAGTCTCCATGCGCCCAAATACCTGAAATATTTCAAATAAAGTAAGATATATTGATGTAAGCTATGTTAAGGGTGCCATCACTCCGTCCCTGCATTACAATGCCTCCAGTCTTAGGGTCTATGGTACAATAGTCTCCATGTGCCCAAATACCTGAAATATTTCAAATAAAGTAAGATATATTGATGTAAGCTATGTTAAGGGTGCCATCACTCCTTCCCTGCATTACAATGCCTCCAGTCTTAGGGTCTATGGTACAATAGTCTCCATGCGCCCAATTACCTGAAATATTTCAAATAAAGTAAGATATATTGATGTAAGCTATGTTAAGGGTGCCATCACTCCTTCCCTGCATTACAATGCCTCCAGTCTTAGGGTCTATGGTACAATAGTCTCCATGCGCCCAAATACCTGAAATATTTCAAATAAAGTAAGATATATTGATGTAAGCTATGTTAAGGGTGCCATCACTCCTTCCCTGCATTACAATGCCTCCAGTCTTAGGGTCTATGGTACAATAGTCTCCATGCGCCCAAATACCTGAAATATTTCAAATAAAGTAAGATATATTGATGTAAGCTATGTTAAGGGTGCCATCACTCCTTCCCTGCATTACAATGCCTCCAGTCTTAGGGTCTATGGTACAATAGTCTCCATGCGCCCAAATACCTGAAATATTTCAAATAAAGTAAGATATATTGATGTAAGCTATGTTAAGGGTGCCATCACTCCTTCCCTGCATTACAATGCCTCCAGTCTTAGGGTCTATGGTACAGTAGTCTCCATGCGCCCAAATACCTGAAATATTTCAAATAAAGTAAGATATATTGATGTAAGCTATGTTAAGGGTGCCATCACTCCGTCCCTGCATTACAATGCCTCCAGTCTTAGGGTCTATGGTACAATAGTCTCCATGCGCCCAAATACCTGAAATATTTCAAATAAAGTAAGATATATTGATGTAAGCTATGTTAAGGGTGCCATCACTCCGTCCCTGCATTACAATGCCTCCAGTCTTAGGGTCTATGGTACAATAGTCTCCATGCGCCCAAATACCTGAAATATTTCAAATAAAGTAAGATATATTGATGTAAGCTATGTTAAGGGTGCCATCACTCCTTCCCTGCATTACAATGCCTCCAGTCTTAGGGTCTATGGTACAATAGTCTCCATGCGCCCAAATACCTGAAATATTTCAAATAAAGTAAGATATATTGATGTAAGCTATGTTAAGGGTGCCATCACTCCTTCCCTGCATTACAATGCCTCCAGTCTTAGGGTCTATGGTACAGTAGTCTCCATGCGCCCAAATACCTGAAATATTTCAAATAAAGTAAGATATATTGATGTAAGCTATGTTAAGGGTGCCATCACTCCGTCCCTGCATTACAATGCCTCCAGTCTTAGGGTCTATGGTACAATAGTCTCCATGCGCCCAAATACCTGAAATATTTCAAATAAAGTAAGATATATTGATGTAAGCTATGTTAAGGGTGCCATCACTCCGTCCCTGCATTACAATGCCTCCAGTCTTAGGGTCTATGGTACAATAGTCTCCATGCGCCCAAATACCTGAAATATTTCAAATAAAGTAAGATATATTGATGTAAGCTATGTTAAGGGTGCCATCACTCCTTCCCTGCATTACAATGCCTCCAGTCTTAGGGTCTATGGTACAATAGTCTCCATGCGCCCAAATACCTGAAATTCAGTTCAATAATATTTTACTACTACAGCACTCAAAATGCCATTGGCACTATTTCATGTGGTTTCTCTACAAATCAATAGTGAAGGTTTCGATTTGAAGAGGTAATGATTGGAGTTATCTTATATTTGACCATATATTACAGGCCCGTAGCCAGGGGGGGTTCGGAGGGTTCGGGCGAACCCCCCCCCCTGGACAAAATTTCTTTCAAAATCATGCAGTTTTTCACCATTCTGACTAATTTTTGAGTGATTTTTGGCCATATTTGCCAAAGTGAACCCCCCCTAGAATTTTTTAGAAAAACGAACCCCCCTTGGAAAATTCTGGCTACGGGCCTGTATTATATTATCTTATATTTGACCAAAATGATCAAACCCCCTATGCTTAATATCTATAATCGTCTAAATGAGACATAAACATTTTGTGTATAACACAATGAATAAATAAATAATAATAAAAAAAATGAAACATATTTTGAAGACCAATCTTTTTTTAAAAGATTACCTTTAAACTTATTGAAGTATGCATTGTGATACTTCTTCCCTTCAGGGTCCTTCCAGAAGTATGTTGGCATACATGGGAATGGTTTTGTGCAGACCAACTCGCCACTCTCTCCCCAAACTGCTTTACCTGTGAATTAAACAATGTGTCTTATTTAGTAACACTTTCAAATACAGGTACACATATTTAAATTCATAGGCATTTCTTTTAATACAGTAAAGCCTATAAAATAAAGGTGCTGAAGAACAGCGATATACTGTATTAGGTCTAAATACAGTTTAACACAGTAGCACATGTAAATAATGTAACACAACTGCAACACAGAGATGGGTGGCAATGTAGAGTAACACATCTCTAAAGGCAAACAAAATACAGATAAACAGATCTAAAAAATACAGTGTTTCAATGTTTAAAGGACCATTAGACAAGTTGTATTGCATTGCATTATGGGATTGACTTACCCTCCTCTGACCAGCACTCTACTGCCATTCCCAGATTCCTGCCCTGGATCTGACCTCTGTAAACCGGTATAGTCCAGTTCTGACCAGCAAAACAGGATATCAGATCTGTACCTCCTGGAGAACATAAATGAGGCATTAACATGCGAAATGTCACCACCTGCCATTTGTTACAGAGGCCAAACATCAATTGCCAAACAACAAACACTGCCAATAAAAAAGTTGGAGATAATAACTTGTGGTGGTGACATAATTATGTCACTTCAATAAATGCAGATGAGAATTTTGCCATCATAACTCCAGGGACATCATCTGTCTTCTACTTGTGTGGTTGTCAAATCAAAATTTCATCATGGTAAGCCAAGCTTCTGCGATGCACAGTAAGGGAGATGCTATGACCATCAGAATGTTAGAATGTTGGATTTTGATGAAAAGGTTCTATACTGTATTAATCAATGTTTTTGAGACTCAGGTAATAGGCCAATAAACATGTTCAAAAGAAATCAATGGATTAAATGTACATGCATTAAAATCAGCTAGCTAAAAACAGGCTCATAACAGAGGCCCCAATATACATGCATACTCACCAGTTATAGACCCTACAAGAAGATCTTTCTTGACATCTTTGTACAGATAGTCATAAGTATCAGGCTTCAGTGGTGACCCAGTGGAGAGTATTGTATGTAAGGTCTTCATACTGTGACTTTCTGCAGGTTTTATCCCCCGCTCGTCATAAATAGCGAACAACTTTGCACTTCCCCCAAATATTGTCACACTGGAAATATGAATAAACAGTTTGGATGTTCAAAGTAACACAGTATGTGTCAGCGGAAAGAAGGGAAATGACCATATCTATTTATGGGTTAAATTCTACATTGAATTCAGTATCTAATTGGCACTGAATTTGTGAAAAACATTACAATAATTCAGTGCTGGTATTGAGTACCAAAATAACACCAAATTTTAGTGCCAACAACACAAAGTTGGTAATGATATAATACTCTCCAGTGATCTCCCAAGGATTTTTTCCCAGGTGGGTGCAAAATTCTCATTTTCACCATTCAGACCAAAATTGGTAGAAATATGCCAATTTTTCATGATTTTTCTCATTTTCAAGTGGGTGCAAATGGATTTTCAGGTGGGTGCAAGCCTATTTTCAAAATCTCAGGTGAGTGCTGCGCCCACTTGCTTTGATGCTGAGGAGACACTGCTCTCTACTTTACTTACCCTAATCTATCTATGAGGTCCCAGATATAACTTGCTGTTGGTTTAACAGGAGAACCATCATAAAGTACAAGAGAGCAACCAATCGAGAGTGCTCCCACAAGCCAGTTCCACATCATCCAACCAGTTGTTGTGAAGTAAATGATGATGTCATCACGTGTTGTGTTGCCATGGATCTGATGTTCTTTGTTGTGCTGGATGAGGGTACCCTACAAATCACACATAGCCATGTTTTCATATGGAAAAGAGAGCTAAAAGAGGGGATTAAGCAAGGACTGAACTTCAATAATTGGGAGGTTGTGGGTTTGGTTCCTATCGAAGTGGAGTGACTTTTTAACATCAGCCCTTTAGCATAGGATTTGATCCTATGTTTCAGATTAACAATAAAATGTAGTTAAGATTCTGATTTGCATGGAAATGTCATAAATCTAAATAGCTCATTCAAATATTAAAGAGAAATTGACTAAACTTAAAGATGAAAAATTGTTTTAATACCACCTCTGTCACCCACGAATGCACCATTTTGCTCATATATGAAGTAAGCTCTCACCCCCGCAGAATGCACCATGCATTTTGGTGCCCCTGTTGTTCCGGAAGAGTACATTATAAATAAGGGGTGGTCAAATGGTAGTTGCTCAAATTCCAACTCAGGAGTTGATTCACCTTCTTTGCCAGTCTCTAGAAATTCTTTCAGTGTACAACTGCAAATAATTATAACAAAAACATTTTAGACTGACTACTCCATACTCCCAGATAATGTATGAACATTTATTGATTTTTAAAATTAAAATCCACTCTCATTGAAGAATTTGCAGCTTAACATGGTGGACTTTTATAATTAATTGTGTTTGTGAATGTACATCAATATATTGACCAGGTCCTTATAATGACCTGGTATCATATGTATAGTGCATCTCATATATGTTGGCCAGATTGTTTTTTACTGGGATCTCATAGGCTTAAAGAATAATTCAGAAGATGAGACACCAAATTGGAAAATTTCAAAAAAGTGGCCACCTTTCAAAACGTTTCTTATGGTGCCTGCTTCCCCGTGACAGATTCGGCTCTTTATTTATAGCTGAGATCTTCATCTTTCTATTTCTAAGAAGAACTTGTGAATCATATACGAAATTAAAGCTTAGTTTATAAGGTTTTTCACTCCACCCTTCATTAGTCTTGAGCTAGTATCGCTGTAGCCATAGCAACCAAAAACAACAACAGTTAATTAGTCTACACTTTAAATTATATCGAAATTCAAAATTAAACATTATAATCTAATTTCTCCAGAATTGTTGGTATGTAACAGAACACATAAAGGATACGCTTATTAAAAACATGTGTAAGAAATTATTGAAGAATACAAAGTCAGACTAACATATAAAATAAAATCAATCTGACCCCATTCTTTTGAAATCAACAACACACAGTACAGGTCAATTACTTTGCACTCGTCTAAGTTATTCAGTTCAAAAGGCTAAAACAACCATATTAATGTCAAGAAAATGTTGAACCTTTAAGTACTATTCACAGGGCAAAGTGTGTAGTTGTTTATAAGACTTTGTACATGTTATTGATTATACCTGTCATTGGTATAATGTTCATATGTCAACTATGCCTAGAATATAAAAAAAAATAAACTTTCCGTGTTTACATCACTATTCAAATGGATCTTTATATCCCTCTGAATTTCCTTTGATGTGATGAATTTAAATGAATCCAGCAATTCAATGTGGCCTTCCTAACAGTACAAACACAGCTAGCCATCAACTCATGTTTTATATTGTTATCATTATTTACCTTGAAGCTACATATATATCTTTTATTGACTCTTTAGATGTCATATCATGACATATTAGTCACTAAGGTAGAGCAGTTCTTCCCATTGTCAAGTTGAAGAACTGGTATCTTTATCCTGGCTAGAACCATAGACAATTCTAGCCAGTGCCAGCCTTTTATCGAGTTAGCAGCACTCTACACCCCCAAAATGCAATCTGATTTTCGACGCCGTTTCGGTGCCAAATTTCGGTGAGGGACTGACTAGTCCGGTAGCAAATTTTGGTGTCGAAAGGTTTCGGTGCCGAAACGGTGTCGAAACGGTGCCGGATCAGTGCCAAATTTTTTCGATGCCGAAACAGCGTCGAAATATATTGGCTGTGTAGTAATCGCCGGTATAGGTCAGCAGTTATAGGTCAAAGAAAAATCACAAGAAGTGCTGTGACCTGGGTTTGAACCCAAGACCTCTACTTTTCAGCCTGAAGCCAGACTTCCTGCTTTTCAGACCAATAGACTGCCTACAGGTGATTTTTTGTAATCTTGATAAAAGTAATAAAAAAACATAAACCTCTTTTTGAAACTCTTACCTGTTTCTTATATCTGCAATATCCAGAGATTTATCATCCTCAACCACATAGGGAATTATAACAACCTTTTCTAGTTCAGGAAGACCTGAAAATTGAATTTTCATGTAGCGATAACAACAGTGAAAATACACCATAGTACCCCACACACACTAATTAGTCACAAACTTTAAAACTTGTTTTAAACACTTTCCTCTTATTGAATCATCATGAAATTTCACTAGGACAAACTACGAGCAATTTATATATTTTCAAAGGCACTTTTTCTTTATTTACCAGGAATAACATTCATACTTCATATCAAATGAAATATGGTGTTTCAAAAAGTTTTCAATATACAATTGTAGACGTTTCTAGAGGCCAACTGGCAAAATTGTAATTGATACTGTAAACCATGAAAGTACTGTCAAACGAGGTCGAGTTCAACAGTACTTTCAAGGTTTACATTTGGGGTATACAATTTGGTCAGTTGACCATATAGAGAGGTTAGCAATTGTTTTGTTAATTCGAAGAATATTATCATATAAAATGGTATATTTCACAAAAACAAAATTGATTGAAATAAAATCTTATCAGCAAAGATGCTAGTCGTCAGCATCAATATCTAGTTGTTCTAAACTTTACGTGATCATTGTAAAATTGAGAAACAATAGTGGTCAACAGTACAGAAGTGGTCACATTTGACCTGATTTTCAGCATCGGCGCCCTGCCGATGAGTATTTTGTTCAAAATTGAATACAAATACTCAATCGGCCAGGCGACGTAGTAAAAATCAGAGCAAATGTGACCACGGCATTAGATAAGTTCAGTTTGTTTGAAGTTTCCTATCATCTAACACAAGAAAATATCAAAATAGATGCACAAATATAATTTTGTTGTTTTGAAAATCAGATAAACACAAATCATACCTTGAACTACTTGCTTTAGTTTGACAAGATGGTTATGAGTTTTTCCATTGTAGACCACAGCATTCACAGAAAATATCAGTTTGGGTTCTATTTGTGTAAATCTATCCAGGACACCCTGTAAGAAAAATATCAAATGCATTTGGGACACTCTGTAAGTTGATATTTGATGGTGGAGATAAGTGGTGCAACCATAGGTTCTGGGCTGATATAAAGATGGCAGCACAAACACAGATTGATTACCATGCCATCTTTATTTAAAAATTAAAAATTATTCCTATCGGCCTTTGCCTATGGGTGCAACTTTCAGAGAAAATGAAGTCAACACAATTATGAATAACTTAGCCAGAAATTGACATAAAAAACTTAAGAAATAAAAAGAGATACACAACCCATGAGAACGATAAAGAGCTTCATTTCTCCTTATTCAGCGAACACTTATTTACTATAGGCTTAAAGAGGCTTTGGAAGGTCACAATTATTGACACTGGAATACACAAATATTTGACACCCTCATTGTGCCAACATTTACTCTTTACTTATTACGCAACTTTTTACTACATGACTATAGACAATGCAGCAAAACTATGCTCACACATTTTATTGATATGGGGCAACACTGGTGCAAATTAAGTGGAATAGCATGGATTTCATTAGCAGCAGGCAACAGGCGATTTTCACCAGTTGTTTTCATAAAATCACCTGTTATTTTTAGGGACTTTTCAACCTTTCCATTATAAATTATTGATTTCCATTAATTTTGCCTTTTGTTTTCATTTATTTAACCTGTTGTGAGAAATTCTATTGAAACCCCTGAATAGTCCAGACTGCTAATAGGCTATATGGGTTGCCTTAATAGATAAGAGTAAAACCAGTACAAGTGGAACACCCTTGGTTCCACTAAAAAGTGTTCCACTTATGAAATGTTCAACTTAAAGAAGTTTCATTTTCAGTATAGTCAATGGTTTACTAGACTGACAAGGGTTCCATTAACAAAGGTGTTCCACATAGGATGACAGGATTTGTTCCACTTAAAGAGGTTAGATTGACATTAAGTCAACAGGTGACTAAACTGAAAAGTATTGCATTTACAAAGGTGTTCAACTTATAGTGTTCCACTTGTGGTGTTTTACCTATGGAGTTTCACTTATGGTATTCCATTTATGGTATTCAACTTATGGTGTTCCACTGACAGGTTTTACCTATGGTGTTCCACTTATGGTGTTTTACCAGTGGAGGTTCACTTATGGCTTTCCATTTATGGTGTTCAACTAATGGTGTTCCACTTATAGTGTTCAACTGACAGGTTTTACGTACATGTACATAAATGTTTGTCACTTACTGAGACCCCAAAATCTGGGGAGGTAGAACTCCATATTGCCCCTATACTGGCTGCTGCAAGCATCCCTTCAATGGCCTCACAACAATTGGGGATGTACCCTAAAACCAAAGTTTAGGAAACCATGATAACTAAATTTGTTTGCCTATCAGAGAGCAGATATTTATAGTATTTTAGGCCAAGATATTTCAGCCTGGCCATAGGAAAACCGGTGTAAAAGAAATTATGGTCCCCTGGGGATTATGGTCCCCTTTCTTAACGGCCCTTACTGGCCCTAATTGCGTATAAGTAATGAGGGAAAGTGTTGTATTTAGGTCACCATATAAATCAATGGAGAGTAGGACCATAATTTGAGAGGACCTCCTACCCTTTTACACCGTATGTATAGTGCATCTCACAGATGTTGGCCAGATCGTTTTGTAGTAGGACCTCATAGGCTCACAGAATAATTCAGAAGATGTAACAGAACACTTAAAGGACAAAAATTAAAATTGTGCTACAGAGCCAAAAAAGTGCCCACGATTAAGAGGAAAATGTGCTAAATTCAGATCCGACTTTTTGGTCTATATATGCAAGGAAAAATTGTTAAGACATAAGCCATGGCTCATTTGAAAGGTTGCTTTTTGCTTAATGAAAAAACTGTGATAAGACCCCTTTTCCTGTGGCCTGGCTCATTTATTAATCTAAATTGAATACAGGCTCATGCACTTTCTCCGAGATTACATACCTACAACACGATCACCCTTAGAGATTCCCATTTTCTTCATGGCGGCAGCGTAGATCGCCACATTATCCCGTAACTGCCTATGTGTTCTTGTTATTACATTATCCCGACCTTCAGCTTAAAATAAATCATGCATTAACTTAGATATTTTTCTTTTAGGTTTCTCACAAGTCATTAACAACATGCAAAATACAACCACCTTGTACATTATTGCAAATTGCTACAAACTCTGAACCCCGACTACCAAACATGGAAACATCGTCCACAAAAATGTTGGAGACTACAACAAAAGGGCACTTCTGGTGGTGACTAAAAATCTAAACAAATGACTTAATCACATAACGCGTATGGATGTGCACTGTTTCCGCCCATTTTTGGAGTTAATTTAAACTTATAATTTGAGACAGCATTACAAACACTTTATTAAGAAGATATTTTTCTTAATTATCTGGCAACAAATAGAGCCCATAAAAATATATGAGGATTGGTTCAGACAATGGCAGTTTATTTCTCAAAGAGCAATTCAATGGGGATCACCATGACAGTGGGCTAAAATAGTTTCCTACCTGTAGAATAGAGGGCGATCCGATCATCATTCCAACGTAACAAATTCTCTGCATAATTCAGACGTGACCCGGTGAACCATCTTGGAATCTCAGAGATATTTGCATTCTTGTCAATAACCTGAAAAAGTAAACATCACTTTTAAAGCGAGTTTCAACCAAATATATGATTTTCAATAAATGCTGTTTTTTTTCTTTTCTTCATCCCCTCTGGCCAAAACAAATATTGATGTTTAAATGCAAAATAATTTCTTTTTTTATGTAGAATAAAAGGGGTTTTTTTGTAATTGCGATTTAATTTAATGTTTTGTAAGTAGTCAAATTAAAGAACCTTCACATACCAATGTTGCTTTTTCATTGTTGATTTGAGGACATGAGAGTAGACTTAAGATTTTTTTTCGAGTCAAATTTTACGACAAAAAATTGAATAAAATGCAGTTATGTTCAGAAATGCAAAACAGAGTAGAAAATCTAAACTTTTGGTTGGTTATGCCTTGGTCACATTTCCTCTGATTTTCACTACGGCGCCCGGCCGATTGAGTATTTTGTTCAGAAATGTATTCAATTTTGGACAAAATACTCAATCGACTGGGCGCCAGCGGATGAATCGCAGCAATGTGACCCGCCAGGCATTACCAATAAAAATATGAAAGAACAAGGCTCACCTGTTGGAAAGTCCTAGAAAATACAATATCTGTAAAGTTCCAAACTTCTTCCCAAAACTCACTGTAGTTCTCAACTGACCAGTTGTACAGCTGACTATAGCTCTCTGTAAATAAATGGGAGAAGATGACTTTCCATAAGAATATACATTCTATCATGTTTTTTTTAATTTTCAATAAGACTTTAGGATTTTAATTTTTGTGCAACTTTATATTTTTTCAGTATACCATTTGTGAAGACACACGGACTTATCTCTGTAAATAAATGGGAGAAGATGACTTTCCATAAGATATATACGTTCTATCATGAATTTTTTAATTTTCATTAACACTTGAGGATTTTAATTTTTGTGCAACTTTATAATTTTTCAATATACCATTTTTGGAGCCACACTGACTTATCGGGAGGAGAATTTCTTAACTTTGAGGTGATGAATAAAATGTCATTTTCCAAAGAGACTTCAATGTAGGGCAACTACAGACACTTAACAAGTACTAAGATTGACCTAGCATAAGGTCTTTATCATGTATTCTAGTCTCAACAACCTATTTCTACCACTTACTTGTGCTTGAAAATATACAATGGGGTTTCAAGCAACAGATTTTGTCTAATCAATTCAGAAAAATATTCTTGTTCTAATAAGATATCTTTTCAAATCATATAAAGAGAATTCTTATCATTTTTTAAACAATTAAGACTTTTGATAGTTATGTGTTCACATAACAAATGAGTGTAAATAATTTAAAACCACAATATACATAAAGCACATGTAGTAACTAGTAACACAACCCTTGAAGAATCTGTCACATCGTCAGATTTCAAAACTGCGAAAAGAGCATATGAGAGTGGAATCAGCAAGGAATAAAGTAAACAGACATGTAGTCTGAACACTCTATATTAAACAGAAATGTCGGAAATATAGCCGTTCATTCAAATATAAGAGAGTAAATATGAAAATGAATGAAACCCTTGACAAATATTTGTGGGATAAAACTAGTAGGCATTAACTGCTGTCGCCATTGGCTAATTAATGGTGTGTCCCAAACGATAAATACATTGGTGATCATGCTTCAAAATGAGAAATAAAGTGAAAAAGAGTGGAACCCAGAAGAAATAAAAAAACACATCAGGGGTTTCACTAAAATTTGTCACAACAGGCTAAATAAATGAAAACAACAGGCAAAATGAATGAAAATCATCTAAATTTAATATGGAAAAGTTGAAAAGTCCCTAAAAACAACAGGCAATTTTGTAAAAACAACCAGTGAAAATTGCCTGTTGCCTGCTGCTAATGAAACCCCTGCACATGGTCATTGGTGTAAATAAAGATATAATAAAATATTTTAATAATAATAAATAATAAAGAACTACATGTACCATGATACGAGTTCAGAGAGAAAATAGGCGGAAAGAAAAATTGAAACAGGATGACTTCTTCTTAATTGGTAAAATCAATAATTCATCTGTAGTGAACCAATCAAATGCTTGTATTTCCAACACACCCTCCACATCAGAGATCAATACATACAAAATCAATTTTGAAAAACTGTTACATCCCATATGAAAAATGATGTGTTATTATGTAAACAGACATTTATGAGTCTTATTTATCTAATATTCCTCAATGTACGACTGAATATATCTGATATTCATTAACCATGCATCATTTTTTATGTACAAGGTCAATGACATGAAGAAATGCATCACTCAATATTTGGAGACGACTTAAGATGTACCTTCAGATATTTTGTTCTCTCTTGTCAAAACACCAAAAATGTTTCAACAATTATAACAATTATAATCATGATGAAGAAACATTATTGTATTTATTGTTGAAACTAGAGTTGAATTGATGAAATGCGTATGTAGCTTCACATATGTGCATTTACTATTTTACTTATTAATATTCTAGGTATATATTTATGCACTCTTCGTTCAAGACTGAAAGATGAAAAACATGTATAAGATATGTACCTTAAAAATGTACATCTGTATGACTCCAATTAGGACTCATTAAAATTTATGAATGTGCAGATGTACTGTTGAAATTACATTTCCACAATATTCGAGTGCATTTATTATGTCCTGCTTCAAGCTTCTGCCCATCTGTCAAACCCAACAAGGAGTGTTGGGGCCTTGGGGGTCTAGAGGCTTGATGACTTATTATTCGCTGAACATGCAGAATTGTACCTCAGGGATTCAGTATAAATGTGTACATCCAAAGAAAGTGGGGTGCTTGATAACATTTGTGTCTTCACTTGTTATTGTCATGATGGAATGTCATGATGGAATATCAATGCTGTCAGAACATCTGTCAGTGCCATGCTAAAAGTCACAAGTGTGACTTTTTGAAGTTGAGTCAATCAATGTCAAATGTGTCAATTTACCCACCTAGCTTTAGGCTATATTTCAAGTTGATCCTTTCCCTGAGACGGTCCATTTGTGTCACCCTCGTCTTCTCTGGCGTCCAAAGTTGCATAGCAGCCTCTTCCCTGGAAGAATCCATACTACTTTCAATTAGATATCAGGAATTTGTTCAAAGATTTGAAATTCGTGTATTTTCCCCAACTACAGAGCCGAAGAACACTTTTTTCAAAACCTTACACATGTAAGAAAGTCCAAAACTAAGGATGTGATCCAACCAGAATCGGTCATTTTTTTATGGGCTGAGAATCTTCAGCTACGACAGATCACTGTCACCAACAAAAATTATCACAAGATATAACCTAAATTGAGATGAATAAACAATATATAAAACGCGGATGAATTTGTACTATTTGTTTGACCCACATATATAGGAATCGCACGATTATCAGGAGATGTATTCAATTAAAGAATAAAACAAGAATCAACCCCTTCCCTAGATTTTGAACGTTATTTCGAATATTCATTTGTCCAAATGGTAAGAGTTTCAAAATTGATCTGTTCTTAGAACCCATCAATAATTTAGTTTTAAATTTTACTTTCGTTTCAGTTTCATTTGTGCACATGCGCAAATTTCATTTCCTGTGCTGTTGTTTCCGGTTCTAAAAAATTTGGCATTTGTAAGTTTTTTGTTGTTTTCACTATTTTAGAAGTAATAAATCTCTTTTGTCGGTTTCATATACCATTAACAAGATATATAATAGTCTTATTCATAATATTAAATTGTTAGAATTTTATTCTGAATCTCAAATATTCCGTGAAAAACGAACTTTGAAAAATGATAAAAAAATTATTTTTGATCTCTGAAAAGTGAAATGTTTTATTTTATACTGATGTAAGTCTAATCTTACTCCAACTCAGTAATCTCATAGAAAATAAGATTTAAATCTTTACTGAAACAGCACTGGAACCCCATGATATACATGTATCATATTGTCGACCCACCACCTCACAATAAAAAGATATGACAATTTATCCTATGCCAAGTAGAGTTTTAGGTAACTAAACCCGTCTGGCCCAGTTATCTACTCCTGACATCGTACGACAATTCAGAATCAGGAGTAGATTACTGGGCCAGACGGGTTTGGTTAAGTTTTAGGGAGATAAGTTGGTAAGATATATCCCCTATCCTGATTTTGAGGTTTCCATATCCAGAACCTCCATATCTCCTGCCATATCTCCCGCTTCAGTGCATATCTTCCTGCTTCTGGTAAGTAGTGGAAATGCAATAAAATGACTTTGCATATGAATGATTTGTTTATTTTTACACCTTGTACTATTGAAATGGCCATATGCCCCTGAAAACTCGACTTGGTATAGGATAAAGCAGTTATGTACGGTCGGTTTGGATATTGGGTTCATCCCTCGTGAGATATGCACATCTACCTCTGGATAAACCCAATATCCAAAACCTCCCAGTACATAACCCTTATGTTTGTTACATGTAAGTTATTCTTTCCAAACAATTTTTTTGAAAAAATGCATACCTGACCATGTTATATTCTGGTACAAAATAAAGTATGAAGGCATCTTTGTGTTTTCTTGCTTTTTTCAGAAAAGCATCATTACATTGTCTTCTCTAAGTAAACCTGGTAAGTGGCAGGTGTGGATCTGGGAACCAATAAGGGGGGGGGCAAATTTCAGGTCAGAGAAGGAAAATTTTGGGCCCCTAAAACCCAAAAGTGGCCCCAAAATTTGAAATTTTGAGGCCCATTTTCTTTTTAAATTTGGCCTGAAATTAAAAAAAGGCCCAGTAATGACCAAAGAGGCTTGGGGCTCTAAGGCCTTTTTTGGCCCAAAATTCATTTCGGGACCAATTTTTTTTCTGGGCCCACCCAAGGGATTTGAGAAACTTGAAGAAAGTTGGAAAATTGAAAAGGCGACCACTTTGAATAATTTTTCTTGAAATATCAGCATTTCCTGGAGCTGCCATTTGCCATTGTCAGGTTTATTAAAATAATACATTGCAAGGATACTTTCCTAAAAAACAAAGAAATACACACATGCCTTCATACTTTATTTTGTACCAGAAAATAACATGTGCAGGTATAGGATTTTTGTCAAAAATGTTGTTTGGAAAGAATACCCTTAAAGCATGGGCTTTCAAGATACCTTGGAAGCCTATGGTTATAAAGGCTTTGTAATTTTTGACTGTCGAAAAAAGATCACCTGGCTCATGTTCATATTATTAAACTTATCTGACCTCAACAAGGAAACATTGATGTCATATACAGAGTGTCCCAAAAAAGGAAACCGAGATTAAGGTGCCATGGTAGTTAACAGGAAATGACAAAACAGTACAGGAAGTGACTGAACATGCCGAATTTTTGGACATTTTTTGAACCAAGATAACAGTGTTCTGTTTTGACCTCCAGTCAATTTAACTAGTTCTACATATCATTTACATGACCACAGGTAACTAGAGTATCCGCGTATATTGAGTATGACCGGTTCTTAGGCTACGAATATGACCTGTTTTGGAAAGTCATGAGAGGCACAGCTGCTTAAAAATGGAAAATAAAGGTTAACTTCTATATTCTCCTTTTTGAAATTGTGTTTGTTGAATATAGTTTATGCTGTATTTAATAGTAATGTAACAAAAAAATGTTAAACATGAGCTATTTTAGCAATGTAACTGTTCATAATGGAATATCAATCAGAAAGTACAGATTTCTCGCCTTAGAGCCAAATCATTAATATCACAGTAGAAAAAAAAAACCAAACCTTTTTATGGCTAACCTGAACAAGATCTCCAAATCTCAGTTTATATGATCCCCCATACAGTGAGCAAGAGAAGGATTTATCTTTTCCCAGAGGATACGCTTGTGAAATGTCATGGAAACGAGTGTAACACGGCCCACTGATTGTTTCACAATCGTATTCTCCAATAATGGGGCACCAGTGACATTCGTATTCTCAAAAATTTAAAGATGTATCATATTTGGACAGAGCAGGCTAAATTATTTAAAATATTCATGACTAATTCGTAGATCTAGCTATATATTATACATAAGATGTGTCATCCTCTTCGGAGTTGCGTTGTGTTACACAAAAACTGATCAAAGATGCTGGAAACTAGGATTTTACGGCTTCAATCTAATATTAATACGTTTTCTCTTGATTAAGGCCCCTTGTGATATGCCTGGCATTATAAGTATACCAAGTATCATTCATTGACCAAGTAGGATAAAAAGAAAACGTTCGAAAGTGTTCATAAAAAGCAAGTACTCACCTCGTCTGTTTATAGAAACAGAAATACGGTCACACTCGTAAGCTTAGAACCGGTCATACTCAATATACGCAGATACTCTAGTATCCCGTGTGACCAGGATCACAATGTACATGGTCAGAATAACCCTAAATATGATGAAATAACTTTTTCAGTCCTCTGAAAATGTGACTGAAAAATAGCTAAAAGTAGGAGCTGCGCTTAGGAATGGTCACTGAGCAGAATGTTTTGAATTTTTGAGAAAATGTGCCCAAAATATTGCTCTAAGTGATACAGTTTTAGAAAATTGTCTGAAAGAAAAATATCATATCAAATTATTTTGAGTGAATCTTTTTATATCCTTGTAAATATTAAATATCAACACTCATTTGCTTTGCTTACTGCCACTGGTGCTGATATTTGGCATCATGGGCTTTCAAGAGCTCATCTTGTCAACAACTTGTTGACAAAAATGATTTCATTCAAAACGATCTCATATTATCCTGTAAAGATCTAAATAAGATAACCATTCATACGCATTATGCAAATCAAATGTTTAATTTCTTTTAACTTTTTCCCTGCTATCAAGGGGATAAGCAGTTATGAAACTAGAGATTCAAATTCGAGACTCAATATTCTGATATTGGATTGAAATATAGCTGTAACCACTTACCTTATAGTAAATAGTTGTCTATACTGTAGTTCATACAATCAAAATAATTATATCTTCACATCTGTCACCTTGATTCAATTGTACTCTATTTTGAATTTCATACGGTAACCCATCCTGCATGAATCCTTTCTCATATCGTATGTGGTATCACTGTCATTCTTGAATAAAAAATTCAGGTCCATAGCTAAGGGGGGGAGGGGGTCGATGATTTTGCCCATTTTTGGACCAAAATTGTCAAAAGTAAATATCTCCTAAATTTTTAAAAAAGTGAAGCCCCCTTGGCAAAAGCTTGTTACGGATCTGATTTAAATGTATTGTTTAATGCAATTGACAGATTCCCTGGTAACCTGATCTGAGATGATATCACTTTTTCTTATGGGTTGTGCATCTCATTTTTTCAGCATATAATGTGTGATGTATAACAGCTATCGACAGACTTCACCTGGGGTTACCCCAGGCAACCTTACCCTCGATGAAAACCAGGCTCTAGGGATACTAAAACATTTAGATTTAGATGAACTACAGAGACTTCATGACAGTGAAGGAAAGCTTGATGACTTGGTCAATGATCTTCAGCAGGTATGTGAATTAAAGAGGAATGGTAATTTCTGTGCAACTGGTTAGTACCATATGTGCAATTTGTTTTGCTTTTGATGAATGCAAAAACACTTTCAAAGTATTTCAAAATAGTTAGGAAAAAAGAGAATTGCATAATGTACAAATTTGCTAAAATAATTTAATGAATTTAATTTTGATAAATTATGGTTCATTTAATATTTAATCGATATTTCCATAAGAAAATTGTGATATCATAAAGAGTAAAGAGTATAGACATACTATACTGAATTGAGCAGGCAACATGGTCATTTTGTAGCAAACTCAAGCTAATGTTAGATATATAGGACTGATTTTGGCACTACAAAATAAGTGTGACACACATACTGTATAACCTACATTACCGTAATCACTCCCCCCAGTTTTCTGCAAGTTAAAATGCTCAATTCTGCAAGTGAAATTAGTGAATTCTGCAAGAAGAAAGGGCTAATTCTGCAGAAATTCTGTGGATATTCGCGGCATTTTTTGCGGTTATTATAAAAAAAATCAAGATTGGTTTAACAAGAACAGTATCATATATTCTAAAAACATGATTTGATAATCATATTCCTACATGTTAAACCCTGCCACAAACAAATTTGACCACTGAAAGTTCCATTTCCATGAAAATGCTGTAATTAATCAAATTTCACATTTTTCGAAACTTCAAACACGGAGGATCGGGCGCATAATGGGAATCACGATATATGTAAATCAGGTTTTAAGTGTAATATCTCATTGGAGTTCGAAGTTTTCGATCAATAACTTAATAATATAAATAACTGTTATTAATTTATGTCTTTGTTTAACTTTCTGACGAGAACCGAAAGAAAAACTAATGGTTTTCGAACCAGTAAACGGGAAAATATCGTGATAGTCAGGTAGTCAGTCTCAGTCACTACATACATGCTGCCATCTAACGGCAGAAATCAAACGATGGCGTTTAGAATTTTCACTTCGCATAATTTGGGTTATTTCTGCAAGGGATTTGACTGAAAACGTGTCAAATTGTTACAGGTAAGACTGACTTTTTAAACTTTTGGAAAATATATGGATTCTGCGGAAAATTCCGCGGAAATTGACCAAAATAGTTGATTCTGCAATTCCGCGGGCAGAGGCAAATTCCGTCCGCGCTCTGCAAACACGGAATCCTGGGGGCAGTGATTACCTGTGTATTTGTAGAAGAGTTGTCTATGTAGTGAAACAGGCCTGTAGCCAGAATTTTCCAAGGGGGGTTCACTTTACCTAAAAAATCTAGGGGAGGGGGTTCACTTTGGCAAATTTGGCCAAAAATCACACAAAAAGTTATCAGAATGGTGAAAAACTGTATGATTTTGATAGAAATTTTGACTGGGGGGGGAGAACCTGAACCCCCCCCCTGGCTATGGGCCTGGGGACATGATCACAACTAATGTATGATTCAACTAAACTTTGTAGGTCAGAGATGACAGTAAAGCTCACCCATACAACTTGATATTCACATAACAGGCCCATAGCCAGCTTTTGCCAAGGGGTTCAGTTTTCAAAAAATTTCAGGGGAGCTCACAATTGACAACTTTGGCCCAACAAGTGCTTAGAATGGTGAAAACTGTATGATTTTGAAAAAAAAAATTCCAGTGGGGTTCATTCGAACCACCTGAAACCCCTGGCTATGGGATTAAATAATTAACCTAGGATTTATAAAAACCATTTGTAGGTTAGAGATGTCCGTATTGATAGAGAAATGCTTGTGACCAGCAATCGTAGTATTGCTGAATATAATTTAGCAAAAGAACCCTCATTGATCGTTGGCAGAGAACAGATGGCGAGACATTATAAAGATTACATAGAGCTGAGAAAATCCTTTGAGAAAAATAAAGAAAAGCTGGGTACTAATGTTTGGAAGTTGAAACAATAGATAGTTTTTGGGCTACATAAATTTATAGCTTCATAAGTTGTATATATTTGTTCTATTGGCTCTAGTTACAAGAAATACAAGTTGAACAGCTCAGGATGTAATAGAGAGCTATATTTTTTATATTTGTACTTCATAAATGATGCTTTTATTTAAAATATACAATTTTCTTGAAGTTAACAGCGTATGTAGCCAAATTTCTATCATGTGTGATTTTCAGCTTTGTGTTTCTTTGAGCCTTGTATTAGCCCCCTAGCTGTTACAGCCTTGCCCAAGTCGGTCTGTTTTACTTATCTTGATTTCTATAATTCTCAAGATCAGATAAAAAAAATACCGACTTGGGCAAGGCTTGCTGTTACACAGTATTTGCTCCATCTATAAGAAATAGGTTTTAGGGATGGGAACCAGGCCCGTAGCCAGGATTTGCCAAGGGGGTTTCACTTTTTGGAAAATTCCAGGGGGGTTCACTTTTGACAATTTTGGTCCAAAAATGGCCAAAATCATTTAAAAAATGCTCAGAATGGTGAATACTGCATGATTTTGAAAGAATTTTTGGCCAAGGGGGGTTCGCTCGAACCCATTGAACCCCCTCTGGCTACGGGCCTGGGAACTAAATGGAAATACGGTTTCTCATAGATTTCTGTCTATATGGAGAGTTGAGTCTGTCCCTCGGATCAGTGCTTTCTTTGGACACTCTCCTTATCCTGTAGCACCCCTTTTCTCCTCTATAAACAGGTTGACAGAAATTGTTGAATGATTGCATTAGAGAGCAAAAACTGATGGCACTTAATCTGTTAATCCCAATCTTGATTTTACTTATTCAAGATTATCTGATTAAGAATATTCAAAATTATAAGATCACTGTCATATTTCTCACTCTCTGATTGGTCCATGTCCTACACATGATTGAAATATAACAAGCGAAATTCAATAGAATTATATATTTGTATAATGTTACATCACACTTTAATTACAGTCTAATAGTATATGTTGTTGAAACTAACCCATACTGTAGCAACACTTTTTGCCATTCCATTGAAGATTTGCTTCCAAAAGTTTTACTCGACTTAATCTATAGTGCATGTTTTACTATTCTCGTTGTTTTAAATTCATATATGTATTAACTTTTCTACTTAACTTTCCACTGTAGTTTCATTCTGTGTGTGTACTGACTAGAGATGAGTCAGGTGACCCATTGCTATGGTAATCATGGTTGATTGCTCTGGCTGTTAATCTGGTTACCATGGTTACTGCCTCCCGTATCAACACTAATCGACACATTTCTAATTGATCAATCCCAGGCCCGTAGCCAGCTTTTGTGAAGGGGGGTTCACTTGAAAATTCCAGGGGGTTCACCTTTGACCATTTTGGCCCAAAATCACTTAAAAAGTGCTCAGAATGGTTAAAAACTGCTTGATTTTGAAAGAATTTTTGGCACCTCCTGAGGCCCCCCCCCCTGACTATGGGCCTGAATCCAGAACGGTTCATTGAGTTTAGCCGAAATAGAACAACTTTCCCACTGCTTAACTATCACTGCAGTCTGACCCGTTACTCATACTGAACCTTTAGCCCTTCCAAAATCAGCCAGCCTCTCACCTGACTCACTTCTAGTTCTATGTGCTTGTTATCTCTAGGTCAAAAGCCTACAGATCGACAGAGAGATGTGCTTAACTAGTAACAAAAGTTTAGCAGAGTTCAACATTTCCCGCCAACCACGCTTTACGCAAGGCATAAAACAGTTAGCTGCGATGTATGAGGAAGCGGCTACATTACGTAAATCTTACGAAAAGAATAAAGAAAAATTAGGTACCAAAGGCCCTTGATTTTTAATACATGTATCCTAATTGGACAGTGATTTGTCAGATTATTTCACAAAAATTATGATTTTTTCAAATCTAAAGCTTGGTCTCTGTTTATTATATTTAAATTGATGTTGTATTTGCTTGCTTTTGATCTCTTATATTCTGATGGAAGGAAACTTGTTGACAAGGAAAAATTGCTGATAAGGAAACATGTTGACAAGGAAAAATGCTGATAAGGAAACATGTTGACATTATCCTTCTAAGCTCAAGCCTTTTTCTCTTTTTAGCTTATTGATGTAGTCCTCTCAATATATCATATTTGAACTATTCCCTTTAAAATTACACATCGGTCTAAAAACAAATTTAGGACCGGGGCCAGTAAAACTCTAGCTTTGGGGTGTTTATCTGAGTGAATTTTATATTGGAATCAGTGGAAAAGATGAAAATGGACTCAAGAAAAAATGTCCATCTTGGGATGTTCACTCTGAGTTTTTATTTTTTCTATCTGCTCTTTGTTGATTTTTGCACTTTGGCTTACTACTCAACCTTCACATGTTCAAGCACATTGTCGTGGAGTTTTACAGCTTTTATCACTAGTGATTTAATCAATTAATTTGGAATTATGTTGCACTGTGAATTTAAACTCAATTTATTTTATTCACACAATTTTATAATTTGACATTTGGCCAATTTTAGTTATATGAATGATATTGTAATTTATCTTGCTAAGATGTAGAATTCTGTATTCATGCCAAAACCCAATTGCAATAAAAGTAATAAATTCCAAGATTTTAAAGTTAATGTACTTTTGAATTAAAATGAAAAATGCATGCATTGTCATTTCATTAGATGCCATTTTTTATGTCACCACCAGAAGTGGTGACATATTGTTATAGTCTCCAGCTTTTTCTTGACAGTGTTCAGCATCCGGCAGTTGTTGTTCAGCATTTGTTGTCTGAACAAATGGCAGGTAGTGACATTTTGCATGTAATGCCTTGTATACATTTCTGATTGAGACTTTCATGCGTGATCTTTGGGTGTAAATAAATTTGGAAATTTAAAGAGGATACATAAGAAAAGGTGCATATAAACTATTATATGATTCTCTATATTTCAATAGATTTTCTTGCTGCCGAACAGTCATTGGACACAACATTGGCGCTACTGCAGACAGCAGCTGCAGAATCAGAGGAAAATTCAGAGGTGAGTCTGAATGTTTGAGAATAAGTGACGCCCTACTGAGAAGTCTTGCTAAGCCCTTATCCCCCCCTCCTTCTCAGGAGAGTTAGAGGTTGATTGAGATTGGAATGCTACTTCATCTCAGAAAAACAAGTAATCCAATCAAATACATTGATTTGTATTATATCACTCTACTATACCTAACCCCTAGAAATGCATAAGAGATTCTCTTTGTCTAATTGGATTGTTTAGTATATTTTCGAAAGTACCTTATTAACATCTAACAGCCATCCAATAAACCATTCATAAGCAGCAGACACATGTAAACAAATAACATCATCATTACTGATAAGCCAAATGGGTTGCTCATGAACACCAAATGCAAGGTATAGGAGAGTGAATATAGATGTATATAAAATGTGTGGGCAACCACTCTACCTCTTTAAAAGTTGTTAAAAATCCAAGTGCTCGCTAGAAGAAATTAAGCTAAACATTGAAATTTTAAGAGTTTCACTTGAACTGAAATTCCACTTCATGTATCTTCAGGAGCTTGCAGATAACTTTCTGGATGGAAAAGTAGACTCAGATACATTTGTGGAGGAATATATTCAGTTACGTAAAAAGACGCATCTTCTTAAAGTTAAAGCTGAAAAAATGCCTGGACTAATTCAACAGCAAAATTCTCCCGCTAGGGCGAGTCGACAAAATTCAGGACAAGTACCTGGCCCAGTGGCGGGAACCAATCAGGCACCTGGAAATAGTTACGGGCAACCCCCATATCCCGCAAACACTTACCCAGGAGCAATGCCAAATCTGAGCAATTATAGATAATCTACAGTGCCAACCATTGCGGTGCAATATCTCAGTACAACTGTATATAAAAACTGTTGGGAGTTAAAGAGTATGTCCTGTACCACATGTGCAGGCCTGTAGCCAGGGAGGGGGTCGATTGGTTTGAGCGAACCCCCCCCCCCCTGGCCAAAAATTCTTTCAAAATCATGCAGTTTTTCATCATTCTGAGCACTCTTTAAGTGTTTTTGGCCATTTTGTAACCAAAATTTTCAAAAGTGAACCCCCCTGGAATTTTTCAAAAGGTGAACCCCCCTTGGCAAATTCTGGCTACAGGCCTGCATACGTGTTATTGCTTGGCTTAAGAATGCAGTACCGGGTCCATTTTCACGTCTGTTTGCGCAGGTTTGACTTCCGGTTTGGGAAAGCTAGCTCCCAAGAACATCATTTTCGCATTTAGTCTTATTCAAAAATTATAGTTTATTTCGATAATAGTGTTTCCAGAAAAGAATTAAATTGCAAATATTTTATCAAGCATATTTTATCCCTTTCACTTTTACGGGAAAACTTGTTCTTGTGTCGCAATTAGTGGATACGAAAACCAGGGTTCGAAAGGTGCCAGCTCTATTGAAAACTCAAAAAAGTAAAAAGATTCATTTTGGGTGGGTAAAATAAATTTTTTATTTTGTAATTACCAGATGGTCAGTCCTCTTCATATTGCACTTGGATGATGATAACATCATTGTGATACATTGTAAAAAATATGAGCAAAATCTAATGTCTGGAACTTTTTCTACGCTGACCTGGTACTGCATCCTTAAACACTGATTGTTTGACAAAATCCAGTGAATAGTCCAGTTGATGATTTTAGCATTGGAAAGTCACATGTTAACAAAATTCAGTTTTACCAGTATGCTGAAATCCCTGACACACATGTTTATCAAATGAAGATAGCATTGTTTAACTTCAGTCTGTCAATCACCCACTTATATGTGAAGAAGAGAATAAGGCCATTCAGAGTTAATTATTAAATATTTAACGTCCTTCAAAGGGTAAAAATAATGTATTGATTGAAAATTTGCATAAATCATAGAAGAGAGGGGAGGTTAAACATATGTTAAACTTTAAATGGCCTTATGTTTCATGGGAAAAATAATCCATATCATTTATCCTTGCAGGGTTTTCATAAGAATTGGCAAAAGGTAAACAAATGAAAACAAAGAGTCCTAGTCTGACATGTGTTGGAAAATTGGAATTAAGTTCTGTGCAACAAGTAAATGAGGGTGGATTTCTGTGATCAGAAACGTACATAATTCCAGAATTTGAAAAATAGAGAGTCAGTATGAGAATCTGAATCTTAGGAGCTCCTGAGTTAAAAATACAATTATTGTCTCATCACTCTGAATTGCAAAATTATAATGCATCTAAATATTTTTATTAATTTATTGAAGACTGTATATCACTATGTTGTATTCAAAATTATTTATATAAACATTTCTTTATCTTTGAAAATTTAAATATTGGAAATGAAATGTTAGTTCTCAGTTTGCAGATTTTCAAGTTCAAATCAATTAAATTAAATAATCTAAAATAATGCACCTGTTGCTGTAATAGTACTAATAGTCTTGCATCAAGTCTGTCACCCTAATTCAAAACCCACCCCTCCTTTTGAAGTGTGTAGGGTGGAAGGTGGGGAGGTCACTAGGTTTGGAGCAAGACTTTTATTGTTTCAGTTTTACAAATGACATCCATTGTATTAGTCATTAATCGGTTAATAAAGGAAATGAAGAGGAGGGAAAGACCCAGAGCTTTAGAGATTGCAGACATAATTACGTCTCTTGCTTACCAGCTTACCTGACCCCTCATTTTTTCCAATTTCCACCAGCTAGTCTCCAAATACTATACTTTGATGTGATGTTTTAATAACTTAGATGTGAGTAGGTAGTTACCAGTTTCACCACCTGGTAGCTGATTTGGGGTAAATGCAAAATATTATCTGTCCACTAAAAGAAAGAATATTTCACTTTTTGTGATTTTATAGCATGGGATCTATGAGGAATCTCCCCGACCTAGAAGTCAAATTCTAAAAAAAATATTAATTTTTCAAAGTTGGTAAACAATTTTTGTTACCACATTTCTAGATGTAATTTTACATGTAGATTTCAAATATGATATCACTTTGACTGAATTTTGAATATTTGAATGATCAAGATTATTTCTGAGATATATGTCATCTCAATACAGGTTTACATTATAAGCGTATGTATGTCATCTTTGAACTCTAGGGTTATTCCCCTCTGAAGGAAATGTGAACTCCATTGTTGTTGACTTAACTGTATTACATGTAAAGATGAATGTAAATAAAATTGAATATTTAAATCAAATCAAACTAATAGTTAATGAGTGATATAGAAATCATGTGGTGCCTTATATTTCACCAGCAAGTCCAAAAATTTATCCAGTTTGGATTTTAACCAAAAAGCAACTCTGAAAACAAATTACAGTAAAATCGACCCATTGAAACACATTTCTGTCATGTCTTAAAGGAACGCCTGTCAACAAGGAACAGTTTTCAAAAGAAAGATCATGTTATTAATTGCCATGACACAAATGGAAATATTTCAACAAAGCTTGATTGCATCTGACTTGTTGTGCTGACTTGTTGTGCTGACATGTTGTGCTGACTTGTGCTCATTTTGGGACTAACACAACAATTTTTGAGAGATGCAAGAAATGTATTTGTGACATGTTGAGCTAGATTTCTTTAAAACTTTTGAAGATCCGAACTTTCAGATCATAAATGCTATACAAGATATTAACATGCAAAATATCGTCATCTGTCATTTGTTACAGACACCAACCTCTGAACACTTAAATATGCTGAACACTTGTTTCAGACACCGAACACCAGTCACAAAAAAGTTGGAGGCTATAACAATATGTCACCACCTCTGAGTTTGACAAAAGAATACCAGTTCTAAGCAACAACTCTGGACATATTACATCACTTATTCATTTATTATATTCTAAGAATTTATTACAAAAACATACATTGTACACTTGTAGTGGCTTTGCTAAAGGCATTATCCGCCATTTGATTAATAATTGCAGGGTGAAGAAAAAAGAAAAATTAAATATGAACTGAAGAGCGAAGTGGAGTGGTGGCAGGGAAACATACACATTTGCACATTTTTCAATAATTCATCTTCGAGCATGTCAGGTACTAAATGCTTAGTCAGCAATTTTGGTTGGCTAAAGCTCAAAACCTCTCTGTATAGAACACCTGTCCACAAGGAACAGTTTTAGCTAGTCATCTTCCTAGAATTTTTCAGACAAGACTCAAAGAGACACCACCCACCCACCCACCAATCTACAAAAAATCTCCCCAAATTAGATAAAAATCAAGATAAACCTTTTATTTCATTAACAAGATACTTTTTTAAAATCAACCAAAATTTCCTTTGTACAATTACAATATTGAGAGACCTTAACATGTTGTGTTTATGTCATTTTGTTCCAATGAGGTTCGGAAAGATGTTTCATTTCACTCTGGAAACATGATACCAAGAACAAAACAAGTGTTTGATGTGTTTTCTAAAACAATATAGATGAAAGTATATATATATTTTTCAAATTATATTGTTACCATTCAAAAGATGACCATTAAATTGACGATGTGTTAAATTTTTAGATTTTTGATGACTGGTTTAAGAGAAACGTGTGTTCAAAAAGTTCTCCATATCGATACCACTCCTTTCCACCAGCTAGCCTCCAAATACTATACTTGGATGTGATGTTTTAATAACCTAGATGCTGATTTGGGGTAAATGCAAAATATTATCTGTCCACTTACAGAAAGAATATTTCACTTTATGTGATTTTATAGCATGGGATCTATGAGGAATCTCCCCGACCTAGAAGTCAAATTCTAAAAAAAGATTAATTTTTCAAAGTTAGTAAACAATTTTTGTTTCTAGATGTAATTTTACATTCTGAGATGTATGTCATCTCAATACAGGTTTACATTATAAGCGTATGTATGTCATCTTTGAACTCTGGGGTTATTCCCCCTCTGAAGGAAATGTGAACTCCATTGTTGTTGACTTAACTGTATTACATGTAAACACGGTGTATAACCCAAACGCTCCTACATGCACGACGGAGCGTTACATTTACGCGGAAACGCTCCGGAGCGAAATAAAATGGCGGCTAATGAAGATTCTACTATGACCGTAAGTATTGTTTCTCTCGTTTCTCTTACATATCATATGTCATGGTGAAATATTATGTACCATTCGATGAACAATACCGTGAGCAAAGATCTTATTTATTCAACTTCTGGTGGTAAACTGTTATTTGCTTGATCAAAGCTCCGTAGTGTAGATCGAACGAATCTGAAGATGACGATTTGACCACAAATTACGAATTAAACTAGTATTTCTATGAAAACGTTAATCTTTCTGTTTAAGTAGTAGATCACAAACTCGTATATTCTCATTTCCTAAAATCCCAGTCCAAATCCATTACTTGTTCTCGAGAAATCGCTTGCTTTCCTCGAAACGCTCCGTCGATTTAGACCACAATTTCAGAAACGCTCTTACCTTTTTGTTTTGATATCATTTTCAGATTATTAGAGAAGAGTTCCGAATCGAATCTATCTCTCAAAAACGTGTTGTACTTGTTAGGCAAATTGAAACATCTGAACCTGGTGGTGCTAAACGTGCAACTAGCTGATTAAAGCCTATACACTAGATGATGTCATGCCTACATATGTGCTAAATCATAAAACTATAGAAAAAAACGAAAAGTTATATGTGAATTTATCTTTCTTCTATTGATGCCAAGAGGTATAATAGATCTTTTCTTTCTCTTCCTGAAAAGAAAAGGCAAGCTATATATTTCCTTAACAGATCTAGACTACCGGAGCGTTTCCAATTCACTGTGTTAACCAGATCGGAGCGTTTCCTGAATATGAGAATGTCATCATTTTTAAGACTGGATTTTCGGTCATCAAATCACTATTACGATAATGTATGGTGCGTTGAAGCATTGGAATTTGACTAAAATATACGTTGGTGCTCTAATCTTGGCTCAACTAATCACATGTATCGACAAAAGGGGTTTTGACCGGTAGAATGACAAATACGTTTTTGAATTTTGATAACTATACTGCTTCGTACAGCTCTTCCTAATTGCTTCAAACGTCAACAGCCAGCCACGTATAACATGAATATCACACCCATCGAATGGTATACTCGAAATATGTAACTCATACCTCTTATTCCCATTATTGGGGAAATTGTCAGACGGCTCATCATTCCCGCCAGACAGTTTTCCTACTCCGGAGCGTTTCTTTGTTTAATTTCAGTAATGAAACGCTCAGTCGTGCATGTAGGAGCGTTTGGGTTATACACCGTGGTAAAGATGAATGTAAATAAAATTGAATATTTAAATCAAATCAAACGAATAGTTAATGAGTGATATAGAAATCATGTGGTGCCTTATTCTTAACCAGCAAGTCCCAAAATTTATCCAGTTTGGATTTTAACCAAGAAGCAACTCTGAAAACAAATAATGGTAAAGATTAAAAGGTGGATTGCATCGAGTCGATTGGATTCATGTAAAAGGTGGACTGGATCGGGAATCTTCAAAATATAGAATTACTTAGAGACTATTGATCTCCCTCTGTCAGATTATAATATTCATTGAGACTATTGATCTCCCTCTGTCAGATTATAATATTCATTTCAGGGTAATATTAGGCAATTCATAAATCAATCATAAGGCAGACTGCTTTGAAGAGCCATATTATCTGTTTTCAATGAGAACATCTAGTAGATGGGAACATTAACACACCAATTTGAATGACAGATTTTTATCAACACAGATCTATGTTTATTATGCTTTACAAAATAAAAAAAGTCGATTTACAAGGGAAAGCAGTTGAATACTGCTATATCCATCAAGTAATTATGTATGTATTTCTTGTTGTTTTGTTCTGATTCCTCAAAGGGACCTAAGTGATCACAAGATATTAAAGAAATTCCATATTTTGAAGATTCCCGGTCCAATCCACCTTTTACATGAATCCAATCCACTCGATCCAATCCACCTTTTAATCTTTACCTAAAATATGCCCATTGAAACACATTTCTGTCATGTCTTAAAAGGATGCCTGTCAACAAGGAACAGTTTTCAAAAGAATTATCATGTTATTAATTCCCATGACACAAATGGAAATATTTCAACAAAGCTTGATTACATCTGACTTGTGCTGACTTGTTGTGCTCATCTTGGGACTGACGCAATAATTTTTGAGAGATAGCAGAAATGTATTTGTGGAATATTGAGCTTTTCTACAAGATATTAACATGCAAAATATCATCACCTGTCATTTGTTACAGACACCAACCTCTGAACACTGTTAAATATGCTGAACACTGTTTCAGATACCGAACACCAGTCACAAAAAAGTTGGAGGCTTTAACAATATGTCATCACCTCAGAGGTTGACAAAAGAATATCAGTACTAAGCAACAACTCTGGACATATTACATCAGTTATTCATTTATTTTATTCATAGAATTTTTTTTACAAAAACATACATTGTACACTTGTAGTGGCTTTGCTAAATCATTATCAGCCACTTGATTAATAATTGCAGGGTGAAGAAAAATTAAATATGAATTCAAGAGTGAAGTGGAGTGGTGGCAGAGAAACCTACATATTTGCACATTTTTTAGTAATTCATCTTTAATATCTAAATGCTTAGTCAGCAATTTTGGTTGGCCAAAGCTCAAAACCTCTCTCTATGTAACACCTGCCCACAAGGAACAGTTTTTGCCAGTCCAAAGAGCATTCCTTGTTCACAGGTTTTACTGTAATCTGTTTAGTCATTTTCCTAGAACTTTTCAGGCAAGACTCAAAGAGACACCACCAATCTACAAAAGAACCCAAGATCATTCTTATTGGTGGAGTCCAATGGATTTACATCACTGAATTTAATAATCAAAATAAAGGCCCAAAATAAAAATTCATAATAGCCTACAATTTGGTAGAGTCAAACATCACTGAATTTAATCAAAATAAAGGCCCAGATGAAATTCATAATAGCCAGAGAGCATTCCTTGTTCACAGGTTTTACTGTAATCTGTTAGACTCAAAGAGACACCACCCACCCACCAATCTACAAAAGAACCTGAGATCATTCTAATTGGTGGAGTCCAATGGATTTACATCACTGAATTTAATAATCAAAATAGTCCCGAAATAAAAATTCATAATAGCCTACAATTTGGTAGAGTCCAACATCACTGAATTTAATCAAAATAAAGGCCCAAAATAAAAATTCATAATAGCCTATAATTTGTGACATCAAAATAATATAATATTGAAGGATAAATGGTGGTATGTTGACAGGTTGAGACCTAGGTCTTTTGCAATTCTCCTGTAAAGATAAAATTATGATTTATACAAAATGAAATTTTCTTGCAAATGTTTTAAAACAAGTGTCACATTAACCTGCTTTTTAATATCATATGGATAAAGTTGTAATGTATTACGCTAGATTTTTATACAAATGTCAAGGTCACACTTCTTTTCTCCAATTTGAATGAGAATGTGACTTACTAAGTAAAATTTTATGACAAATGTCACATCTTTCTTTTATCCAGTATGCATTAGATTGTAAGTGGGATTTCTGTGCAAATTTTTAAGAACAAATGTCACATTTAAACTACATTTCTCCAGTATGGATGAGATTGTGACTTACTAAGTGAGATTTCCTTGCAAATGCTTTGAAACAAATGTCATCTTTAAACTACTTTTCTCAAGTTTATGGATAAGAGTTAAATTTCTTTGCGAATTTTTTAGAATAATTTCACTTGTAAATCTTTTTTCTCCAATATGGGTGAGATTGTGATTCACTAAGTCAGAATTCCATGCAAATGTCTTAGAACAAATGTCACATTTAAAATACTTTTCACCAGTATGGATAAAATTGTGACTAACTAATTGAGAGTGTGCGCAAACGTCTTAGGACAAATGTCACATTTAAACTGATTGATAAGATTGTGACTAATACTAAGTAAGATTTCCTTGTAAATGCTTTAGAACAAATGTCACATTTAAACTGTTTTTCTCCAGTTTGGTTACAATTGTAATTTACTAATTCAGATTTCTGTGCAAATTTTTTAGAACAAATGTCATATTTAAACTGCTTCTCTCCAGTATGGATGAGTTTGTGACTTACTAAGTGAGATTTCTGTGCAAATCTTTTAGAACAAATGTCATATTAAAACTGCTTCTCTCCAGTATGGATGAGATTGTGTCTTACTAAGTTAGATCTCAAGGTAAAGCTTTTAGAACAAATATCACATTTGAACTGCTTTTCTCCAGTATGGATCAGATTGTGACTTACTAAGGCAGATTTCTGTGAAAATCTTCTAGAACAAATGTCACATTTAAACTGCTTTTCTCTCGTATGGATGAGATTGTGTCTTACTAAGTTAGATCTCAAGGTAAATCTTTTAGAACAAATATCACATTTGAACTGCTTTTCGCCAGTATGGATGCGATTGTGTTTTACTAAGTCAGATTTCTGTGCAAATAATTTAGAACAAATGTCACATTTAAATGGCTTCTCTCCAGTATGGATGCGATTGTGTTTTACTAAGCTTGATTTCAGCGCAAATGTCTTAGAACAAATGTCACATTCAAATCGTTTTTCTCCAGTATGGATCAGATTGTGACTTACTAAGGCAGATTTCTGTGAAAATCTTCTAGAACAAATGTCACATTTAAATGGCTTCTCTCCAGTATGGATGCGATTGTGTTTTACTAAGCTTGATTTCACCGCAAATGTCTTAGAACAAATGTCACATTCAAATCGTTTTTCTCCAGTATGGATCAGATTGTGACTTACTAAGTGAGATTTCAGTGAAAATGTTCTAGAACAAATGTCACATTTAAACTGCTTTTCCCCAGTATGGATGAGATTGTGTCTTACTAAGTTAGATTTCTCTGCAAATGTTTTAGAACAAATGTCACATTTAAATCGCTTTTCGCCAGTATGGATGAGATTGTGTCTAACTAAGTTAGATTTCAAGGTAAATTTTTTAGAACAAATGTCACATTTAAACTGCTTTTCTCCAGTATGGATCAGATTGTGAGTTACTAAGTGAGATTTCCAGGCAAATGTTTTAGAACAAATGTCACATTTAAATCGTTTTTCTCCAGTATGGATAAGATTGTGTATTACTAAGTTAGATTTCAGTGCAAATGTCTTTGAACAAATGTCACATTTAAACTGCTTTTCTCCAGTATGGACAAGATTGTGTTTTACTAAGCGACATTTCCATGCAAATGTTTTTGAACAGATGTCACATTTAAATCGTTTTTCTCCAGTATGGATGGGGCTGTGATTAGGCATTCTTCATGAGCTCATACAGGTGTCTTAAGAATATAAATGAACAGGAACATCCATTCAGTAGGTTTGTGTTATCTTGCCTGGTATTATATCAGGGGTTTCATTAGTAGCAGGCTATAGTCGATTTTCACAGGTTGGTTTCACAACACCGCCTGTTGTTTTTATAGGGGACTTTTATGTTGTTTTAATTTATTTAGCCTGTTGTGAGAAATTCTAGTGAAACCCTTGTATATGTTGATTTACATGTTGCCTCAATATGCTTGTGGCTATATTTAATATAGTAATTAAGCACTGTCAATATCTAGTATATATGGCCTTAATATCTAGCATATATCATCAATATGCTTGGGGTTATATATTATGGTAATAAACATGTTCAATATTTATCATATGTCCTTGATTTGCATGGGGTTGTGTATCAATACTAATTCAGCACTGTCAATGTACAGGATACAGCTTCAATATTAATAGTATGTAATAACAGCTTGTAGAACTAGGTCATCAAATGTCTCTCTTCGACAAATGATCTCACTGGTAGTTTTTTAGTTCACATTTATACATTATTTAACTTCGTTCTTTGAGTACATCACAGTTCTCCTTGGTCATATCAATTGAACTTACACCTATATTCACTGTTGCCCAATGTCAATAGTAATTCATCATTGCATGTTGTATTTAGGTACAGCTGGAAAATAACATTTTGGTAAAAAAATTACTATACCTGCACATGTTATTTTCTGGTACAAAATTAAGTGTGCAGGCATGTGTATATTTCCTTACTTTTTTCAGGAAAGTATCATAACATTGTCTTCTTTTAGTATATCTGGTAATAAGAGGTCAATGAGAACTCCAGGATATTCTGATATTTCACACTTTCTATTTGTCCAAATTTTCTTTCAAAGTTTCCAGACAACACAGGAGCTACGATTGACCTGTCTCCAGATTTACTAAAAGTAGACAATGTAATAATACTTTCCTGAAAATATCAAGGAAATACACACATGCATTCATACTTAATTTTGTACCAGAAAATAACATATGTGTACTTTCTGCCATTTTGATGAAATCCTCATGTTACTTTCAACTGTGGACTCATTTTCTCACACTGTCTACATCTTTCACATTTGCACAAAGAGTGCACTAATGTACATGTACCTATAAAAGAGTGTGGAGAATATTTTGTTTATAAAATGTATGAAAAAAATGAGAAAAATTCAATGACCTATTTTTTAAAAGTAAAAATTAGTAAGTCACTTTGTTTTCTCATTTTTTTATGCATCAAAAAATTATTCATTGCACTCTTTTCTAGGTACATTGGTGCACTCTTTGTGCAAATATGAATGATGTGGACTATATAATAAATTTTAGCGATGTATTCCTGAAAATAACTTGTGACTCCAGAGTACAGTTGATTTTGATTCTCAGTTCAATATAATTATATGTTCATTATTTTAGTAGCTACTAACACTGTTATCTGTGATTCTGTGTATAATCTTGTTGGTAAGTCTTTGTATAATTCCTACATTTACATGTCTATTTTCTGTGTACTATCACTTTTGGAATATATTTTTATAAAAACCCTTCGACCTTCTATTTTCTATCTTTCTTTCTGTCCGATCAACAATAAGTACAGTTATACAAGAAATGTAAACGAAGTGAAAATATTCCCAAAAATTTTCCGAAAGGCATGTCATTTCCGGAAGTTATGATACGTTATATTACCGAACAGGCGTGAAAATGGAACGTTTGTTCGTTCATTTTATGAGAGCTAAATAAAATGCGAACAAAGCATCAGGTATGACTCCACCATTGTTTGGCGTTTTACTACTTGCCACAATCAACCTCACTGCCAGGATATCAAACAAGGCCCATTTTCCATCAAACTTGGCCCAACTACTATCAGGCGGATGCCCTTGAAAAATCAAGTTGACATGGTTACCAAAACCTAATAGTTGCCATGGCAACCATAGAAATGGGCTAAAAAAAGAGAGCAAAAAAGCACCCAAACCCACCATAATGGCACTTATTTATAAAATATTTCTAGATATACAAATTTTCTTAAACTTTGATATCATCTAGAACACTTGTCAGAAAATTTGGGGGTAGGTTTACCACTTCGATTTTTTCTAGGCTTGGACAAAGTAAAACTACGAAAAAGCACTAATTTTACTTTTGAATCACCTATTATCGCCCAAATGGCTATTGTATTTTTTCAAGGTCAAGGTCGCCATGCTAAAAATTGAATTACGGAGATAAATCTGCTCTTCAGACAATGTTTGATAGCTTTTCTTCACCACAAAAAAAGATATTTGCGCTGGTATGCCAATTTCCATGAGATAATGTACGGGAAGGAGGAACAGTGTCTTTAAATGTCATCAAAACTTTATGCCAACACGTGAAAAGGCCATTTTCGCACTACTTTTGGTGTAATAATGCCATCGAACAAACATTTCAATTCACCCATGTTCGGTAATATAAGGTGTTATTACGGTAAATACCACTTCCGGGTGTTTTTAAAACTTTAAAAACGAAGCTATGCCAACTTCAATGGTGTGTATAGTAGGTTTAAGTGTATGTACTGTGGGCATTTGAGGTATGTATGTAAAGCAGGGGCCAAGTTCTTTTTAAATGTGCCATTTTTAGAAAAAAATCTCAATAATATGGTCCCGTAAACAGGAACTACTTTATTCGTTAATTTTCATCGGTGAAGCAGAGATTTTACCTAAAAATATGTCCCTATGTTGGTGTAGTGATCGAGACCCAAACCCTATGTTAAATATAGTGTCGAGATGAAGGTTATGTATAGGGGATTGCAGAAATATAGTCATTGTATGGGCTAATTCGTTCGAAAATGGCGATATGTACCCCAGAAGGTGTGAGTACCGTAATCCAACACCAAATTCGAAAATTCAGAACAATACTTTACACATATGGCGTTCGTGATCAACTATAAAACGCTAACCCCCCATAGTGTTAGATATCAAAATGTACCTGTTCATATAGGGGTTCGATTGATCTACATCAAATTATAGGGAGTCCGGTTACTTTTTGAGATATCAGCGTCCATTTATTGTAACTCACGTTTGCTACCATTTCCTCAATTCTGAGATGACAGGCAACGCGTAGTAAACATGCTCACGCCGGAACTATATTTTGACCTACATCGCTATTTTCGTAATTTAAATGAAAGTTGACCTCCTCCTCTATATTTTGATACAAAATAGTGGCATACTAGGTACCCTAGAAGTCAACTATGGCGTATTTTAGTACAAAACCACAAGTTTTTAAATGGACTATATAGTCATACCTTTTGGCGGATGGATATGGAACCTCATACCAGAACTTGAATTTTGTGATTTTTTCAATATTTTTCAATGATTTACCGTAGTGACACCCTAACGTATCATAACTTCCGGAATGACATGCCTTTCGGAAAATTTTTGGGAATATTTTCACTTCATTTACATTTCTTGTATAACTGTACTTATTGTTGATCGGACGGGAAGATAAGCTGATGTAGTTACACTAGAGTTCGTTTACTACCATTTGGAAGGCACGTGAGGGTCCCATTCATCAGGTAACACTCATATGTCGAATGTTCTTGCTATTTTTAACAGTTAACAAGCTGTAGATATAGGTAGATGTAATCCTACAGGGAGCTCATTGGAACTATACGTAATCTAAATCATTTAGTAAACTGGACTGGGAAATCAGAGGTCGAAGGGTTTTTCAATAAAATATATTCCAAAAATTCTTGACACCCTGTAAGTCGTAGGGTCGAAGGGTCGTAGGTCGAAGGGTTTTTAGTACATTCCAGAACTATGATCTATATGCAGGCCTGTCAACTTGGGAACACCTAACATGAGTGACTTGGAAATGTTGGGGGGGGGGGTAGGTACGAAAAATCACGAACGGAATGCGTGACATATACGTAATTCGCGTGAAAAGTCCGAACGAAATGCGTACATTTTTTTCCGGCGTTCGTATTTTTGCTGTGTAGACGATCTTTTTTAGAAATTTTTCTACAGAAACATTTTTGCTTGACAATTACCAGGTAAAATGCGTATTTGCGTGACATTTTCTGTCACGCAAAAATAACTGGCGTGACTATCTATATGATACTATGAGGAACTGATAGTTATGACCTCCCATTGTGCATATTGTGGGATCCTCAGCCTTTACATTTACTATCCTTTAGTGTTATGTGTCAAGTGTTATTAAGGTCAGGGTGCATGATGGGAAAATTTCTGCATTCCTCAATTGAGTCACATGTTATTTTTCAAACAAGAATCACTCCTTCCCTTCAATGTCTATATCTTCCAGTTTTGCACAAAGAGTGCACTTATGTGCCTAGAAAAGACTTGTGAGAAGAATGTTTTGATAAAGTGTATAAAAAACAAGAAAATTCAGTGAAAAAAATCAGAAAATTTTCAGAAATTTTTTTCACTGAATTTTCTCATTTTTTATACATTTTACAAAACAAACCTTCTCACAAGGCTTTTCTAGGCACAGAAGTGCACTCTTTGTGCAAACTTGGAAGATGTAGACAATGTGGGGAAGGAGTTATTCATGTTTGAAAAATAACATGTGACTCAATTGAGGAATGCAGAAAATTTCCCAACATGCACCCTGTCCTTAAAAATCAGAATGATGGCCTCCAATTTCACATTGATATATCCAGCTGTGCCTCAGGCGCCTGTACAAATAATGTGATGGTGATTTCATTTTATAATTCAAAATAATATATTGAAGCCGGAGGTAGAATTAGCGTGGCATATATTACAAATAGAAAACCACTTCTCATGTCCAGGGCTGTCAACTTGGGACCACCTAATATGAGTGACTTACAAATGTTGGACACCGAAGTCCAAATCTTAACACTTTTGTCCAAATTTTGAACACCTTTGGCCAACTTTTAAACACCTTTGGCCAAAGTTTGAGCACCTTTGCTAAACTTTTATAACCTCAAATTTTTCGCGCTCGCTACGCTCGCGATGTCGTCAACGGGGGGGGGGGGGGGGGGGGGGGGGGGGGGGGGGGGGGGGGGGGGGGTAGGTACGAAAATTTACAATGAACATGCGTGACATATACGGGATTCGCGTGACAAATCCGAACAAATTCGTTTTTTTCCGATGTTCGTATTTTTACCGTATCATAAACATATTTTGAAAAAATTTTTACAGAAACATATTTGCGTGACAATTACCAGGTAAAATGCGTATTTGCGTGACATTTTGTGTCACGCAAAAAAAACTGGCGTGACTTCAAATTCGTCAGCAAATGCGTGACAAATACGCAAATTGCGGGACAGTTGACAGGCCTGCATGTCATTTGATACATTATATAGCCTATATGGGTGACCTGCAATTTAGAACACGCCCATCACCTTAACACTGTACAGGGAAGGACCACTTTATTATAATATTGTGGGGAATATCAATATCATATATCAATATTATGTATTTCAAGTTGGATAATTGTATACAATGGATGCCTACAGTATATTCATTATGAAGGGTCAAAATAATAATTCCTCAACAGAGCTCCATCACTTCAACATAGAAGATCTGAGAACCAGGGGCCTGCTCACCCTCCCCCCTTGGGTTGGCCCAGAAAAATATGGGTTCAATACTTTTTAAAGGCCCATGAATGATTCACCGGCCTTAATTTTAGGCCAAATTATCAGGAAAATAGACCTTAAATTTTCAAAAAGGGCCCACTTTTTGATTTTAGGTGCCCAACTTTTTTCATACTTCAAATAAGCCCCCCCCCCCCTTGTTGGTTCCTAGATCCACCCCGGGTGTATATGATAGTTATTCTGAAGAGAATACTTGTGATGGCTGAATAAGAGTCATCAGCATACAATTAATTTTGAAAACTGCCTGCTCTGCCAACAACCACTTCGTTGCAACACAATAGAATGGAATGCAGTTTAATTTAAATAATACACAGCTGTAACAAAGAGGAGTGCATTCTTTTTCTATTTTTTAAAAAAGATGTTCTCATGGCAAGCTATCCAAAACGAGTGTGGCACAAAGATGATTGTCTGTCACATGCAGTGCACTCAAGCTGATACCCTAGACTATTCACTCATTCAATAGTTGAATAGTAAACACAAAAGAAATCAAATTTTAAACTGTACCTGACCTGTAACATGCAGTGCACTGAAGCCTGTGCTTTCATTAACGCTGTCTTAATGGAGAGGACCCGGTTTTTACTATAGATATATCTATAATCTAGGGACCCCAAACAATGAAAATGAGGGGTCACTTGGACGCAGTGCAGGTCATATAAAAAAAATCAACTCTGGATGAATGTATTGATAAAGATCTTACCTTCAGTCTTTTATTTGGTCAAAATCCGCTAAATAAACGAAGGATATTCTATTTCTAAAAGAAATAAAATTTTCTTTCGGAGTTTCTTTCCCGGAAGTTGATTTCCGATCATAATAGTATGAGGTATGTCATAGGACAATCACTAGTAGTTGATTTCCGATGCTTGGCCGCGATTATGAATCGCGCATGCGTCTTAATAATTTTAACTAATCAAATTGCTGGATTTGTTGCGCATGCGCAAAAATGCTGAACCCAAAAAATGGGGTTTACGAAAAAGACCGACCCCACCGACCACCGACCGGTCGGTATTTTCCACTGGTAGCCTCAAAACAGGGTTTGAAGAAAATGTGTAAAAGACCGACCATATTTGTAGCCTTGAAATATTAATAATTCGATTTTGAATGTCAATCGTAAGCAACGTTTTTTATCGATTTTGTTCCTTTCAACGAAAGGTTAGCAAACAAATTGGGCATGGCCGTCTCCTCTCGATTTAATTGTCCTGCCTTAGATTCCTGACCTACCATTAACCAGCCTATCATTTCTATCTATCCTAATTTTTTACTGAAATCTAACGTACAATTTCGAAATAAAAATGATTTATCGTCATAGCCTAGGCCTACTGAATTCTGAACACGATGTAATGTTACGTGCGTTCTCTTATCGGGATTAAAAGTGACTAACCATTTCAGTACACCATGATTAGAAAGTTTTTTTGTCATATTGAATGTAGTTTTTACCAGTTGAGGTTGAACAACTGAGAAATCAAACATTACGTTACGACGTGAACACCGACAATGTTAAGTGTTGTTAATTGCGTTTCATATTAATGAACTTAATGCAATGTTATGTGCGTTTTCTCATCATAATCCAAAGTTACTAACCAGAATGAAATTGGTCTTCTAACAACTGAGACATCACTTAAAAATAAGACATTACGCACCACGACGATGTTACGTTTTTCATCGTGATTTGAAATGATTAAATACATTTTTAAATCACGACCTTGTAAAGGTACTATAGTCATTGGATTCCCAGTTTTAGTTTTTCTTCTAATTTTTATCTTCATGTAAAAGACCGACAGTCGACCACCGACCACGTGTACCCAACTGTGGAGAGTGACTGCGTGGTCGGTGGTCGGCGGTCGGTGTTTTTCGTAAACCCCAAAAAATGGAACCTCACGGAGATTGCTCCTAGTGAAACTTTCTGAACGAACAAAATCAATAGCAAATTGCTTTGAAATACGCGAAGAAAAATGGTATTTAATGGTTGAATATTAGTTATCTCTTTCAAATGAAGGTATCTGCATCATTTAATGACCTACTAGATGTGTGTAGGACACTGATCTGGGCCAAAAAATAACAAAACTGATGCAAACTTTTTTTTCTTTTGAATTCCCGGGAATCTTTTTTCATGGGGACGCACTTTTTTGAGGGGGGACACAATTTTGGAAAATCAATCCGTCCCAGAGAAGCACTTTTGGACAAGCCTACTGAAAGCACTGGAAGCTGAACTAATTACACCCACTCATTTCTCAATACACTTCCGGCCCTAAATTCAATACAAAAGAAATCAATTTTTCCTAAAATTTGATCATAGACCATTTGCCTTTTATAAGAGTCAGTGTGTAGTTTTAGTGATAAACTATTTATACTGGGTCTTAGCGGCCTCTGCTATTATTTATCCTAAAACCCAATACTCATAGTTTATCCCTTGCAGAATTAATGATCAGATTAATTTGTCACAGACATGTATGAATATATTATCCATAAATAAACATATTTGATGTTATCATAAAAGTTAATCAAAAAGTTCTTGTAGTGACAAGAGAAGTCATGCCCAAAATGCAAGTGCATAAAGCAATTGGTATTAAATGTATAATTGATCATTTTCAAGTAATAAAGGTGTAGTGGTAAGACTTTTTCTGAAATAATTTACACATTTGAAAAACTTTCCTCATACATTTATATGCTGTGGAGGTGTAGGTTAAAGTGCTCAAAGTTTTTGCTAGAAATCCCAATCCCATAAACGAAACCCAGCAGTATAATTTTTGGCTCACACAGTGAGCCTATGGGATCGACCAGGCGTCCGTCCGTTGGTCCGTCCGTTCGTCCGTCCGTCCGTTGGTCCGTCCGTCCGTCAACATTGGCCGCACAAATTAAAACTGCTATTCGTATTGAGTCATAGCCACATTCATTTTATGCATATCCATAATGCCTATTTGACCTATCATCGCCATTTCCCAAGTTCGCCCGGTTTCCGAGAAATTGCGGATTTTGACGTCAAAAAGTCAAATTTTCTGTAAATACTAGACACTTTGTTGAAGTAGAACTTTCAAATAACTTTTAGTAGTTGCTGTATATGCAAATTATGTCCTCTGAAGATTTCAAAGCTCTTGGAATTACAGTTTTTGGTGTTTACTCTATAAAATTTGACAAAAAGTAGGACTTAGTCATTTTCAGGAAACTTTCTCATGTATAAAGTCAATGGCAGGTTTTGTGATTGACAAGTTTCTCAAAGTTTGCCTTATACTTGATCATTTCTTGCAATGAATTACATCATTACTAGATTAAAGCATTCCTTACAAATTGCTCAATATATGTCAGCATCAAATTTTTACTGTTTTTGATATATTTAACGTCAAAAAACAGTAAAAATAAGTTGTTTTTCAACTCGCTTCAATTTGACCAAATTGTTTTTTGAAAATCATCTACAAGTTGTCAGGAGTTCAAATCTGACATTGGTTTTAGGATTTGACCTTAACTTGACCTTCAGTGACCTTCGAAAGGTCAAAAAATGTGATTTTTCAAATTGATTTTTGGATGTAAATTTTGGTCAGCTTAATCACAAAAGACCTTACTGAGCTCTGACTAAGTAAAATTTTCAAGGTCAAAGGTCATCAAACTAGGTCACACAACTGTGCTATCTAAGTTTCTCAAAGTTCGAGACTACAAATCCAAATCAATATTTTTGTTTGAAAGTCAGGATATACATTCCTCTGAAGGTTCCAAACTGTGTGAGCACAGGACCGTGGGTCCTTCATAATATATTTACTATTTTAAAGTTTATTAATCATGTTAATGGATGATCTAGAAATGAGATAATTTGTTGGATAAAAACATACATATTTGAATTACCTATCTTCGGCCATTTATAGGTTAATACGTATCGTAAACCCTGTAACCTAGGTAAAATACCGCTTAGTGTAATAACAAACTATGTATAGGTATAGGTAAATGGGCTATTTACGCTAATCTTAAACTCCCTAATATGTTATGCCTTACGGCAATGTAAAGATACATTTCTGGGACGACTCTTTATGCATCTTAAGATTTTAGAAAAACAATTAATTCACAAAAATACAGTTGAATAACATACTAGAAACCGTATCCACATATAACACGATGACACACAGTTTAAATAACAGTTAATTGGTTTTTTGTTACATATCAATGTAACATTTTCGAAGGGAAATTTACATGCTCCCTGTACGTTGATAGATTTACTGAAATGTATTATGTATTGCATTCGAGTTTTGCTTCACTGCGCCCACTATTATCTATCTTTGCCTATAGTGGTTTTTTGCCAACAATATTCTACAAACTGCAATTGTCTGATAAATCACTAGAAATAAATGTAAAATGTAATTTACGTTCGGAAATATGGAATTAAACCCACGTCCTCCATTTGCAACTTAGCTGTACCCTGTATCCCTTTTAAACGTGGTCACGTGGTAGGGTAGTGTGAATAACCTAACAACTTATAATAACTGGTTTGTTATTCAGTTTAGATGTTTATAATGCACCATTCGTATTGTTTGGATTCAGAGAGGTTCACATTACCTGAAGTTCATTTTTGCATTGATGTACAGTATGTATGAGTACCTAAATACCTCCTTGAAAATAAATACCTCCTTGAATTAACTTGAAATATAACTTTAATTTTTGGATATTATCATTCATAATGCTCTCTCCATGAAGATGTAGGGTAGCATTCAAACGTTTGCATTCATAAAACATTTAATTCCAATCCTGAGCGCAACCTAACGGGTCAATTCCCTACCTCCGGAGCAGTAATTGCCATAGTCACATGTTGTCACAATTGTGATTACCGGGAAAATTTTGATTACTGAGATATGTATTTCAAAATTCAACCCCCTGGAATACTGGAACAACAGTTTGTTTCAAATAATCTGAATACCAGTCAGAGAAACTAGTGAGGATATCAGTTAACCATTAACCACATCAACTTATAAAAAAATGTGTCAACGGTCACAGAAACATTGTGCTTATAAATGACTCAGTATTGATAATTCATAAAATAAGATAAGAATGAATAGTTCACATACAGAAACCTATTGGACTCAGCATAAAGAAGTTGCGTGTTAAAATATAACTGATTGTTTTGTGTTTTTTAACTATTGAGTAGATCAACTGAGCACTTAAAAATCTCTGTACTGATACTGAAGGTTAAAATGGCGACAGCAATGGAGGAACATATTAAAGAGACATTGAAATGTAAGGTGTGTTATGAGACATTAACAGACCCAAGGGCACTACCATGTATGCATACATATTGTTGCAAATGCCTGGATAAGTTGGAGAAAATCAATCAAGGACAGGAACAAAGTCTTTGTTGCCCAGAATGTAGACAAGTTCATACAATACCCGAAGGAGGAGTGGCTGAGTTTAAGGTCAACTTCACCACTAGTTCATTAGTGGATCTACTTCAATCTATGAATGTTATTGGAGACAATCCTAAATGTACAGTATGTAAGGAAGATGAAATAGACAATGATGCTCTAACAAAGTGTGTACAGTGTGATGAACAGTTTTGTAAGGACTGTGATCGATATCACAAAAGATTTCATAAAGGTCACACAGTTTTTGACCTTACAGGTGATCAGACTCAAGATAAAGCGAGTGTCCTGAACGTCGTCAAACAGAGTGTCATCTATTGTGAAAAGCATACAACAAACCCACTTGAGATATATTGTAAGGTGGACCAATGTGCTATATGTGCTACTTGTTATGCCATTGACCATTCAGACCATAAATGTATGGACGTTCATAAAGCTGCACTTGACAATATGAAGCTAATTGATGAGCTCCTTGTGAAAGGTGATAAGTTGGTCCAGAATTATGAAAAGTCAATACAGAACACTCATACCAAGAAGGATATAATGGAACAAGAGGCTGATGATGTTACAAATGAACTGAATAATGATATGAACACAGCTATCCAAGCAATCCGTGATAAATACACAAAGAATATTGACTCAGTAGCTGAGAAAAGAGCCACATGTGCAAAGCAGGCAATTGCCCATCTTGGACATCTTGAAATGCAGAAGGCCACCACTGAAAGCATAATGAGCCAGCTACTTACATTAAAACAACATGGACATGATACCCAACTGGCTAACATGACCCAAGATATTAGTTCTAAATCAAAAGAATGGTCTCAACCCAAGGACTTTGACTTTGACAATGGCATTACATTCAAAATACACAGAGGTGAAGTGTTTGATGATAAAATAGTGTTTGGAAAGGTGGATATTAACATCCTGAGAAATATATCAAAGACAGTAAGATTATGTGAAAGGCCAACACTGTTAAGGAAAGTGAAGTCAAATCTTCAGGATGTTTCGGATTTAGCTGTAACTGACAATAATGAAACTGTAGCTAATGGTTATGGAACACCAGCTAGTGTCTATGACAAGGAATTCACTTTAAAGACTACATTTGGTAAGGGATTTTACAGGGCTACTTGTAAAAGTAATAATATCTACCTCACCCGTGGGACTGATACAGTCAATGTATACAGCCAGGATGGTACGCACAGTAGAGATATAAAGATACCATCTCTTGGAACATGTAGTGGTATTGCTGTTAACTCGAGAGGTGAACTTGTTATATGTGACGCAGGTACAAAGACTGTGTACCATGTGGATAGTGCTACTAGTAGAATCATGACCAAGTCTGAACCAGGTACCTTAAACAGGCCACTCTATGTAGCTGTCAATAGTAAAGATGTTATGCTTGTGTCTGATAATGGTGCACATTGTGTGGTGGGTTTGACCAGAGATAGCAAAGAGCTGTTCAGGTATGGCACTGAGGGAAGTTGACATAACCAGCTGAAATGTCCCAGGGGTCTATGTACAGATAGAGCTGACAATATCATAGTGGCTGACAGTGGCAACAACAGAGTTCACTTGTTAAGTCCAGATGGAAAGTTCATAAAATACCTTCTCACAGAATCAAATGGACTTGTGTACCCAAGGGCTGTAGCAGTGGACAAAGAGGGACAGTTGTTGGTAGGAGGTGGCAATGGCAATGATAATATCAGTTGTGTTAAGTATATAGTGTAGGTGTCTGTGTTTGGACAGGTTAACAGAACCAACTCATCATTTCCAGTATGTACATGTACAGTTCGTATATATGCATACTGAAAACTGGCTTTTTACAGTCATTGTTAATTAGGACAAGGAAAAATATTGCACCCAACTTACATGCAAGTTAGATACTATCAGAATATTAATAAAGATGTTCAGTATGTTTGGGTAATTTTTTCTTACACCTCATGGTTTAACACTGAGAACTTCCAATCCAATGTATTGTATACTTGGATTATAAAAGATCACTGATCTTTTATAATGTCATTACTGACCATAATTATTAATTATGCAAACAATGTACATCGTGGTATTTTTATGCTCTGTTTATGCTTGCTCCCCAATCCAACTTATATATGTTTTAAGCTACAGGCTTTATAAGTATTCATACACTGGTGTCACTGTCACGTCGACTCAATATTGAACACACATACCAGAAGCTAGTTCAACAAGTTAAACCCAATACCACGGCTTTCATTTATAATCTGAGTGTTCTTGTTGCCGTGGTTGGGTTTAACTTCCGTGCTATGCTTTCATGGGTTGCAAATTCTCACTATCAGCTATTAATAAAACGCGCATGGAATTTCATGCGCTGCCATAGGCCATCATTACAATTTTTTGCATCAAAGGTCGAATAGGCACGGATGTTAAACCTAGGGCGGGCCACAAGAAATGTCAGATAAGAAATAAGGCCCAGACTAGGTTTAACGTGTTGAACTAACCAGAAGCAAGAGTTCTTATAGTCCTGCAAGAACAGGAATATGGCTAATATGCCTTGTTGTATTGAATCTTGGAGAAGAGCAGTTGGGCTTTTTAACTGTTTTTCACTCTCACTTAACAATAACAGCAATGCTGGCTTGATTTTGTCTAATAAAACTGTCATGAAACTGTAACTGTAAATTGCATTTTGATAGTCTTAACTTGTCTGTTTTTAACTCTCCTACTGATCAGTGGAGGGTTATATTCGAGAACTTTAGGTTGTTGCATCCTTTGTTTAGCATTCCTGCTTATTGCCACTTTACATGTGACCTACGTTTGTCTAACTATATTTATAATGCTGAGTATTATAGGCTACATAGTAAATCTGCAATCACATTTAATTAAAATTACATTGTATTCCACTGTCTTAATAGTGTCTTTTTCTGTATGCCTGGTTTTTCACTATTGATCCATAATCCAAGCCATATTTTTTCTCTTTTACTACCTCTGAGTCACTGGTGATCCACTCGATTACGCTGGTTACCAAAACGAATCGTTTTGGTAACAAAATGTCGGAACGTCGAAGGTACGATTTTTCTTTTTTCCTTATATCACGCGTTGTAGGCAGAATCCCCACGACTTTTTTTGTCACAAACGTATATCAGTATCATATGTTATAGAAAATGTTCATGTTTGCGAAAAAATAGCTCAGAAGACAACAGAATCGTCGATTTAATTCGTCACTTAAGTTACATAAACGGTTTGGGTTAAAAGTGCAGATCTAACCGTTTTTCGAAAAACCGTTTATGTAACTTAAATGAGTAATTAAATCGACGATTCTGTTGTCTTCTGAACTATTTGTTCGCAAATATGTACATTTTATTAAGCATATGATACTGGTACACGTTTGTGTTAAAAATGTCGTGGGAATTCTGCCTACAACGCGTGATATAAGGAAAAAAGAAAAATCGTACCTTCGATGTTCCGACATTTTGTTACCAAAACGAATCGTTTTGGTAACCAGCGTAATCGAGTGGATCACCAGTGTGAATGGAGATGTAGAAACAAATCCAGGACCAGATAACAATCTAAAGGTGCTATTTAACAACATCAATAGTGTGAAAGCAGATTCATTAAACCGCCTTGATTATCTCAAACAGTATGTGGCTATGTGGCTCTTTGCCAAACAGGCAATGTTACGGATGACGATTTAAAATCCAACTTTTGACTTAAATAATTTTGGACCGCCTAAATTTTGTACAAACCATGGAAGAGGATTAATCCTATGGACATGACTCAGTTCAAATAAAAGGGTTTACGAAAAACACCGACCGCCGACCTGTCACTCTCCACAGTTGGGTACATGTGGTCGGTGGTCGGCTGACAGTCTTTTACATAAAGATGAAAAAATGCAAAATTAGAAGTAAAACTAAAACTGGGAATCCAATGACTATAGTACCTTTACTAGGTCGTGATTTAAAAACGTATAATTAATCATTTCAATTTATAAACTAAAAGTGCAACATATGTTTTATTGCCTCGTTTCATTGTTACAAAATGTAGACAGGTGCCTCGTTTCCTAAGTGAGAGAATTGAAATGTAAATATCTCAGCAATGTCTGTATTGATTTCTAATTTGCAATCATATTATAAAACAGGAACTTATAAACTATTTACTTGCCAAATATTAAGTTTTAAAAAACAAAAATCTTACCGAATGAAATTTTTTCACGCGCCGCCATTTTGATACGAGGCAAAACCTCCCTCGTTTCCAGTTCATCCCCAGTGCATTTCAAATCACGATGAAAACGTTATAGTCTGGCAGAAATATAGGGTATTTTGACATTCAATCGTTTTCTTCGGATTACAATGTTTTTTTAACTTATCAACATGAATATAGGATTGGGACCTCAAAACCACCGGATGCCGGTGCGGCACCCTTGGGCAACTCTCTACAGAGCATTTCTTATACCCCCCTGATAAAATATACAGGGGGTACTATAAGACACCCTCATATCTCAGATACTGATAAATATATTATCTTGAGATTTTCAGGAATTAGTTTTAGTATGATGCTTGACATGTATGACAAAAATCAAGAAAAAATCTTAATCCATTGCTATAGCAACAGTAACAGAACACTATTTGTTACCGTAGAGATGCATTATTTTGCTGATTTTCAACATTTCTTCATATAGTTGATTCTTAAACTAGTATATAGTATTACACTAGTATATAGGACACTGCATATTTTATATTTAGTATATACATGTATATCAAATGAAATCTAATGCATTCATACTGTAGTGAGGTTGGCATATAGTCGGTCTAGACTTTGGCATTTAGAACATGCATCATAATAAAATCTATTGAATTATACAATAGAGAGGTTGGCATAGTCTAGATTTTGGCATAATGTCTAAATTTTATAAGCATTGGCTTTCCTCATCTGAGCAATCAGACTACTGGGGGCCCTGTATAGCTTCTGGGGGCCACTGGGGACCATCGTATAGCTTTTAAAGGCACTGTAAATATTTGATTTAACATTGAATTCAATTGGATATTTCTCTAACAGTGAAATTTAATGGCCATGAAACATTTCAGATTGACAACATCGTGAATTTTTTGTCAGTGAAAATTTGGGCTTACTTCTGGGGGCTACTGGGGGCCCTCGTATGGCTTCTGGGGGCCACTAGGGGCGCCTGTATAGCTTCTGGGGGCTCCAGTTTAGCTTCTTGGGGACACTAGGGGGCCACCATATATATTTTGGGAGCCACCATATAGCTTCTGGGGGCCCCTGTATAGTTTCTTGGGGCCATTAGGGGCCACCGTACAGCTTCTGGGGGCTACCATATAGTTTCTTGGGGCCACTGGATGTCATCCTATAGCTTCTGGTGGCTACTGGGGGCCACCGTATAGCTTCTGGGTGCCATCATATAGCTTCTGGGGCATACCATATAGCTTCTTGGGGCCACTAGGGGCCCCTATATAGCTTTTGGGGGCCACTTTAAAGCTTCTTGGAGCCACTGGGGGCCACCGTATAGCTTCTGGGTGCCATCATATAGCTTCTGGGGCCTACCATATAGCTTTTTGGGGCCACTAGGGGCCCCTATATAGCTTTTGGGTGCCATCATATAGCTTCTGGGGCATACCATATAGCTTCTTGGGGCCACTAGGGGCCCCTATATAGCTTTTGGGGGCCACTTTAGAGCTTCTTGGAGCCACTGGGGACCACCACATAGCTTCTGGGGGCTACTAGGGGCCCCTGGATATGCTTCTTGGGGCCACCATATAGCTTTCCGGGGCCACCATATAGCTTTAAGGGGGCACTAGGGGCCACTGTATAGATTCTGGGGGCTACTGGGGGCCCCTGTATAGCTTCTGGAAGTCACCATATAGCTTCTAGGGGCCATTTGGAGCACCTGTATAGCTTCCCGGGGCTACCATATAGCTTCTGGGGCTACTAGGGGTCCCTGTATAGCTTCTGGGGGCTCCTGTTTAGCTTCTTGGGGACACTGGGGGGCCACCATATAGTTTTTGGGAACCATCGTATAGCTTCTGGGGGCCCCTGTATAGTTTCTTGAGGCCATTGGGGTCCACCGTACAGCTTCTGGGGCTACCATATAGCTTCTGGGGGCCACTGGATGCCATCCTATAGCTTCTGGCGGCTACTTGGGGCCACCGTATAGCTTCTGGGTGCCATCATATAGTTTCTGGGGCCTACCATACAGCTTCTTGGGGCTACTAGGGGCCCCTGTATAGCTTTTGGGGGCCACTGTGAGGCTTCTTGGAGCCACTGGGGACCACCATATAGCTTCTGAGGGCTACTAGGGGCCGCTGGACATGCTTCTGGGGCCCACCCTATAGCTTTCAGGGGCCTCAGTATAGCTTTAAGGGGGCACTAGGGGCCACTGTATAGATTCTGGGGGCCCCTGTATAGCTTCTGGAAGTCACCATATAGCTTCTAGGGGCCATTTGTAGCCCCTGTATAGCTTCTGGAGGCTACTAAGGGTCCCTGTATAGCTTCTGGGGGCCATCTTATAGCATCTTGGGGCCACTGGGGGCCCCTGTATAGCTTCTGGGGCCACTGGGGTCCATGGTATAGCTCCTTGGGGCCACTGGGGGCATTTTTATTTAAACCTTGAAAATTAATCTATTTTGCCAGATTTGGTGGCTGTCGAGGTGGGGTAAAATTAAATTATAATTTTTTTTTCAAATTCATGTGACTATTTATCTCTTAAGCAGTACTTTCTTACCTAGGGAGCATAATCTTTTCAAGAAGTGTTATTTTGGACCACATTTTAAAGAAAGTGAAATGTAAAAACCTGATTATTAAGTGATGTTACCATAGCAACTGAAATGTTAGATATATTACATAAACCATATGATGAATTATTTAATCTTTACTTCTAATCATGTATATAACAGATACATATATACTTCAGATGCTTTAAGAATCAAGAATATGAAGAAAATTATGAAAATCAGCAAAATAATGCATTTCTACGGTAACAAATATTGTCTATTTCTGTTGCTATAGCAACGGATTAAGATTTTTTCTTGATTTTTGTCACATGTGTCAAGCATCATACTAAAACCAATTCCTGAAAATTTCAAGTTAATATATTTATTAGTGTCTGAGATATGAGGGTGTTTTATAGTACCCCCTGTATATTTTATCAGGGGGGTATAAGAAATGCTCTGTAGAGAGTTGCCCAAGGGTGCCGCTCCGGCATCTAATGGTTTTGAGGTCCCAACGCTATATTGATGCTGATAAGTTAAAAAAACATTGTAATCCGAAGAAAACAATTAGCTTTGAAGTTTCTGCCAGACTATTACATCGTTGTGGTGTGTAATGTCATATTTTAAGTGATGTTTCAGTTGTTAGAAGACCAATTTCATCCTGGTTAGTCACTTTGGAAAAAAAACGCACGTAAAATTGCATTAAGTTCATTCATATGAAACGCAAAAACAAAAACACACAAACATCACGGGTAACTAGAGTATCCGCGTATATTGAGTATGACCGGTTCTTAGGCTACGAATATGACCTGTTTTGGAAAGTCATGAGAGGCACAGCTGCTTAAAAATGGAAAATAAAGGTTAACTTCTATATTATCCTTTTTGAAATTGTGTTTGTTGAATATAGTTTATGCTGTATTTAATAGTAATGTAACAAAAAAATGTTAAACATGAGAGCTATTTTAGCAATGTAACTGTTCATAATGGAATATCAATCAGAAAGTACAGATTTCTCGCCTTAGAGCCAAATCATTAATATCACAGTAGAAAAAAACAAATCCCAAACCTTTTTATGGCTAACCTGAACAAGATCTCCAAATCTCAGTTTATATGATCCCCCGTAGAGTGAGCAAGAGAAGGATTTATCTTTTCCCAGAGGATACGCTTGTGAAATGTCATGGAAACGGGAAATAATGGGGCACCAGTGACATTCGTATTCTCAAAAATTCAAAGATGTATCATATTTGGACAGAGCAGGCTAAATTATTTAAAATATTCATGACTAATTCGTAGATCTAGCTATATATTATACATAAGATGTGTCATCCTCTTCGGAGTTGCATTGTGTTACACAAAAACTGATCAAAGATGCTGGAAACTAGAATTTTACGGCTTCAATCTAATATTAATACGTTTTCTCTTGATTAAGGCCCCTTGTATCATTCATTGACCAAGTAGGAGAAAAAGAAAACGTTCGAAAGTGTCCATAAAAAGCAAGTACTCACCTCGTCTGTTTATAGGAACAGAAATACGGTCACACTCGTAAGCTTAGAACCGGTCATACTCAATATACGCGGATACTCTAGTATCCCGTGAACATCGTCGATGTTGACGTCGTAACGTTATGTTTGATTTCTCGGTTGTTAAACGTCAACTGGTAAAAACTACATTTGATATGACAAAAAAAGCTTTCTAATGTTGTACTGAAATGGTAAGTCACCTTTAATCCCGATAAGAGAACGCATGTAATATCGTGTTCAGTATTCAGTAGGCTATGACGATAACAAATCATTTTTGTTTCGAAATTGTTAAGTTTCAGTAAAAAATTAGGATAGATTCCCGTTGAAATGATAGGTTGGTTAATGATAGGTTAGGACCTAAGGCAGGACAATGAATCGAGGAGACGGTCATGCCCAATTTGTTTGCTTGCCATTCGTTGCAAGGTACAAAATCGGTAAAAACCGTTGCCTTGTCCCAACGATTGACATTCAAAATCAAATTATTAATATTTTAAGGCTACAAATATGTTCGGTCTTTTACATGATATGGTCGGTCTTTTACACATTTTCTTCAAACCCTGTTTTGAGGCTACCAGTGGAAAACACCGACCGGTCGGTGGTCGATGGGGTCGGTCTTTTTCGTAAACCCCAAATAAAATTTCTTGATCAGTTTAGATCGCTCGACCTTGTTAACTGTTGGGCTGAAGTTAAAGTGAGTCATAAAACCTATTTATATGGCTTTTTCTACAGGTCACCCTCCCCCGGGGTCACCCTCACAGAGGGGTTTGTAGAAAAAACCGTGTACCAGGTACCGAGTAGTAAATCCTCCATGCTGGGTTCAAACTTGGTACCCGGTCGAAAAAACCGGGTACCCCAAAAAACGAAAAATACGAATATAATAATAAGATCATTAGAAAACGTGTAAGATTTGTTTTGAATTTACAAAAATGTATGTAACTTCCTTCAAAATTAAGCTAGAAGCTTCAAATAAAAAGCATTTTAAGGCTCTTTTCTTCCTTTATCATCGTGGTCATAATTTCATTGGCTATGGGGGAGTGCGATCGCACCATCGCGCCCCCTCCTGGCTACGCCTATGACATTGTAAGACGTAACAATTTACACTTCAGTGGTCGTTTCGTCGAAAATTGGGATAACAATTAAATTATGATTAATAATCAAAATCTTAAATTAACACACGTCACCTCTCTACTAAAGTAACGATAACTATTTACAGATTTAAATCATAATCAAAACAATTCACGTACCAACATACGAACTATTTTTATTTTATTTATTTATTTATTTGGATTCTACGCTTTTATAACAGCGGCACTACAATTGTGTGCGTCCAGTTGAACATTTACATACAATATTAGCATTTTTTCTAAAACATATTTAAAACCAGCTTTATGTAGTCTGTTAAAGTACTAAAATAATTGTTATGCTAAAATACTGACTTTAAAAAACATTTACTAATGTTGTCAAAAGTGTGACCCATATCGTGTCCACCTAGGTTACAAGCCTCATTCCCGATAATCCATTTTAACTGCTGTAGGGGAGGACTTTCAAAGAATATGTCAGAAAGATTTTTGGGTATCGTTTTGCTTATAGTTTCATGAAAAATAGATCGGTCAGCTTGAAATTGTGGGCATATGGTAAGTCTATGCTCCAGATTTTCTATTGTGTCTGGGCACCATTCGCACGTGGGAGATTTGGGGGTACTATGTTCTTCCATTTACTCTTTTCATCTCGCAAGTTGGACTTCCCTGCACGTGCAAGGAACTTAATGCGGGCACTTTTGAAGTCGAAATCATTTTGAAGGTAATACGCTAAACCATTGTCTGGCTGTAAATTTAGGGAATTGTAAAGGTTAAGACTGCTTTTCTTTGCAACTCCCTCTGATATGTAATCGTTAGATATTTTATGAATTCTTTCTGAGTAAAATCTTCTAATATTTTCCTCTGGCTCTTGACTCCCACCTGAGAAACCTAACTTAATCAATGCGCTATGCATAAAATGTACATAATTCCTAGGATTTCTAGTTCCACATTGCATCCGCTTCTCCATTTGGGATAAGAGAAATGCGTTAAGCGAATGAGGCTTATGGTATTTTACATACAAAAAGTATTCTATTTGCCTTTTAAGGATGACAAATTTAATTGGAGACCAACCAAGGTCTGCTATAATAGCCTCATAGGCTGGGGTTCCTTTAAGACTTAAAATTGCTCTCCCAGCATTATACTGCATGGATTTTAAGTTTGAGTCATTGGTTTTTGTATCGGATGCCTAGATTGGGCATGACCCAGCTAACAATTTTACGTTGTGATAACGTCGTCAGAATATATGTCTCAAGTTGTAGCAACGTTAAATATGGAACGTTGTAGGTACAGGAAGGTGTGGACTCGCACAGATGTTTAAAGAACGTTACATTTGACTTAAATATCACGTGTCAGGAACGTAGTAGCGACCTTAACAATTACGTCGCCAAAATAACGAAACTGTAACGTACTTACATTACGTCATAAATACGTGGCCAATCTAAATTTCTGGTAACGTTGATATAGAACGTTGTAGGTACAGGAAGGTGTGGACTCGCACAGATGTTTAAAGAACGTTACATTTGACTTAAATATCACGTGTCAGGAACGTAGTAGCGACCTTAACAATAACGTCGCCAAAATAACGAAACTGTAACGTACTTACATTACGTCATATATACGTGGCCAATCTAAATTTCTGGTAACGTTGATATGGAACGTTGTAGGTACAGGAAGGTGTGGACTCGCATAGATGTTTAAAGAACGTTACATTTGACTTAAATATCACGTGTCAGGAACGTAGTAGCGACCTTAACAATTACGTCACCAAAATAACGAAAATGTAACGTCCTTACATTACGTCATAAATACGTGGCCAATCTAAATTTCTGGTAACGTTGATATGGAACGTTGTAGGTACAGGAAGGTGTGGACTCGCACAGATGTTTAAAGAACGTTACATTTGACTTAAATATCACGTGTCAGGAACGTAGTAGCGACCTTAACAATAACGTCGCCAAAATAACGAAACTGTAACGTACTTACATTACGTCATATATACGTGGCCAATCTAAATTTCTGGTAACGTTGATATGGAACGTTGTAGGTACAGGAAGGTGTGGACTCGCATAGATGTTTAAAGAACGTTACATTTGACTTAAATATCACGTGTCAGGAACGTAGTAGCGACCTTAACAATTACGTCACCAAAATAACGAAAATGTAACGTACTTACATTACGTCATAAATACGTGGCCAATCTAAATTTCTGGTAACGTTGATATGGAACGTTGTAGGTACAGGAAGGTGTGGACTCGCATAGATGTTTAAAGAACGTTACATTTGACTTAAATATCACGTGTCAGGAACGTAGTAGCGACCTTAACAATAACGTCACCAAAATAACGAAAATGTAACGTACTTACATTACGTCATATATACGTGGCCAATCTAAATTTCTGGTAACGTTGATATGGAACGTTGTAGGTACAGGAAGGTGTGGACTCGCATAGATGTTTAAAGAACGTTACATTTGACTTAAATATCACGTGTCAGGAACGTAGTAGCGACCTTAACAATTACGTCACCAAAATAACGAAAATGTAACGTACTTACATTACGTCATATATACGTGGCCAATCTAAATTTCTGGTAACGTTGATATGGAACGTTGTAGGTACAGGAAGGTGTGGACTCGCACAGATGTTTAAAGAACGTTACATTTGACTTAAATATCACGTGCCAGGAACGTGGAACCAACCTAAACGATGACTTCGCCAAAATAACGAAAATGTAACGTACTTACATTACGTCATAAATACGTGGCCAATCTAAATTTCTGATACGTTAATTATGGAACGTTGTAGGTACAGGAAGTTGTGGACTCGCACAGATGTTCAAAGAACGTTTCATTTGACTTAAATATCACGTGCCAGGAACGTAGAACCAACCTAAACGATAACTTCGCAAAAATAACGAGACTGTAATGTGCTTATGCAACGTCACATATACGTGGCCAGTTTTAAGTTCTGGTACGTTAATTATGGAATGTTGTAGGTACAGGAAGGTGTGGACTCGCACAGATGTTTAAAGAACGTTACATTTGACTTAAATATCACGTGCCAGGAATGTAGAACCAACCTTAACAATGACTTCGCAAAAATAGTGAGACTGTAATGTGCTTATGCAACGTAACATATACCTGGCCAGTTCAAAGTTCTGGTAACGTTTGTCTTGGACCGATGTAGGCACAGGAAGGTCTGGACTCGCACAGATGTTTATACAACGTTACATTTTACTTAAATATCATGTGCTAGGAATGTAGTAGCAACCTTAACAATGACTGCAAAAATAAAATAACAGACTGTAACGTGCTAATGCAACGTCACATATACGTGGCCAAGTTAAAGTTCTGGTAACATTAACTATAGAACGTTGTAGGCAAAGGAAAGTGTGGACACGCATAAATGAGTATACAAGTTACGTTCGACTTAGATATCACGAGCCAGGAATGTAGTATCAACCTTAACAACGACTTTGCCAAAATAAAGAGACTGTAACGTGCTTGTCACATACATGGCAAATTCATAACTTCTGGTTACATCAAGTTAGGACAACACATACAAGGAATGTTCTAGTAACCTTAATTATGCCATCAACAAGATATAGTTATAGTAATGACTAACGTCCAGTTAAATGAATCATTACATGAACATAATTTTAAGTTCCTGTACAGGAAGATGTAGACACTGATGTTCAGTAAAATTATATATAACACACTAAGCCTAACATTTTCACATGTGAAGGTAAAACACAACTAACTTATGCTTTGACTTATTAACAAATGTATATTGTTTTTCCAATAATTAATGAGTTAATACACAAGAACTTTTTTGAGCATCCAAATAGAGAATATTGACACACAGAATTGAACTTAAATATAATTACAGTCTCGTATGTCATCTATCAAAAATCTATCCTATCGTTAATAAGTTTTATTAAGTATTTTATTAACCCCTAAACGGTTAAGGGGGTGGGGAGATTTGCCGTTCTGGCTTGTCTTAAAATTGAATTAGGCATATTTTAACTAATAAATCGTGACTATATTGTATTTACTGAGGGATATACACTGTATCAAAAATCGAGCATTTAATAACTGATTTATCCTATACTTAGTAGATTATGAGAATTAAATATGCATTGAAATTTCCCATTTTTCCCCAAATTTTTTTTCACATTTTTTAAAAAAAGATTTTCACATTTTTTTCAAATTTTATTTTTCAAAATATGAGTTAGGCTATATGAGTTTGATAATCTCAGAAACTTAAAAAACCACAAGAACATCAGTAGGTATGAAATACATCTGTTATGTATGGTCGGTTTTGGATACAGGGTTTATCCCTCGGGAAATATGTGTATATCCCTTGGTCCCTGGGGTCCCTCGGGATATACACATATTTCCCTTGGGATAAAACCTGTATCCAAAACCTCCTAGTACATAACCCTTATATATCTCCCGCTCAACTCAGATATCAATTATATTCCCGCATGTTATTTACCTATAACACTACTAAGTATGGGATTAACCTTTGATGATATTTCGATATTTCATTTCCGAGATTGTGCCAAGATCTCGGCAGATCTATTCACCCCCTTTACTATGAATGTAATTATCTATAGCCTAACTGTTTAGGGGTTATATTGTTATTTTTCTGAACGGGAATGAATAAATATTCTAATTTGAGCTCGAACAAATGCTCTATTAGTTAACATGGTATTGATTTTCAAAAAGCAATAATGACCATTTTAAGTTGGGAATAAATCTAGAAAAATTGCATGTTTCAGATATGAAGCCATTATATCTATGCAATCTTAAAAGTACTGTCCCGTTACTTGTTATAGAGATAAAAATTTAATTCAAACTGGCTTGCTTCTCGGAACAGATATTGTTTATGCTAAGTGTTCATTTTTCCTTGAAAGCATGAGCTCTCATTGGTCCTCATCACTTTCCAAATGTTTTTTCAAATGACTTGTACAGCTCAGTCGTTGTTTCCCTGGTTGCATGTTTAACACATTGCCATTTCTGCTTGTTTTTGGACATTTTCCTGGAAAAAATCAATCTATTGAAAAGTATGAAATGTAACCTGTATACCCATACCCACTCTGTATATTTTGCAGTGTCATTTTCAACCAAAATTGAGCTAGCGATCTATTCTTTACAATCTCAGATACAATATGTCTCAAAGGTCTACAATGTGTTGTAAATCAGTAAGTTATTGAGGATTAAAAGTGCGAAAATCGGGAAAATTTTTTAATTCTTCCAAATATAAATATGGAAGCCATATATATAAATTAAAATACATAATTGTAAAATTCTTTGGTAAAATACTCTAGTATTCCTGAAGTAAAGTCTGCACTTTATATTTTTAGAATAGAATGACAAGGACCTTGCTAGATTTGATTCTGCTGTAAACTTAATATATATAAAATACTTCTATAATGAATAATAGATTAACCTGGACTTACCGAAGTCACTTTCCTCGCAACTCCCCAAGCTCAGAGGACTCTAGACTGCCTAACTTCCAAACCGTCAAATGTTCCATTCTGCTTGTACTGCTAGTTTGTCTGAAATATTTTAGAGACTTGTAGTATAAACATTTTATTAGTTGGTTATCTGAAAATGCACCTGAGGGTGTAATCTTTCTTCCACCAGATCTGATCTTTGTCTCAGGAGACTTTTTGGGACTACTCTAGGGTAAAACAATCCCTATGCTCATCTGTTTATAGATCCCTAGTAGCTTTTTGTACTATCCTTTTGTATTTCTACAGTAGAATCATATAGCCAAAACATTCCTTCGTTGACTCTCATAATCTTCATCCAATGATCTAACTAGAGATCTATTTATTAAAATATTCTATTGGATAATAATTTGAAATGTTGGAACGGTAGGAAAGTATATACCTGAGAATGACTCTTTAACTTTCTGAGATAAAATATGGCAGGTCAACTTCGGGTCAGTGTGACACCTCTAGAAATAATATAGGCCTACCTGATTAGCATAACACCACTCATCTCAACACAGCCAAAATCATCTCAGGGTTATCATGGGTGAAGGCTACAACAATCCTGAAAACAGAATAGGTAGATGGGAAAATAGAGGACAATAGTAGTACTTTAAAAGACTGTTACTTTATTTTATACTTTTATTTCAAATTGTATTGATTAAGATAAGACCTT